TGCATGAGCATGCGCGCAACCGCTGCGTTATAACGACCATGGGCTCTAGAATACGGGTAGAATAACATTGTAGTAGCTGCGGAAGCTTCGATTCTGAACATAATTGATGTTTTTACTTATCTTCCACATTTTTCCAAACAAAACCAAGTAGATATATTTACAATGCACACGAATATCTTTCAAACTTTATATAAATTACTGTGAGTCTCGGGCTAGATTTATAACACGAAGCCACTTTGTACCGTTAAAATGTAGTGAATTATTTGTGCACACCTTTAGCAATAATAAATTCCTAAGATGTGAATCGATTGCACTGCAATAGTTTATTTCATAACTTATAATGATACAGCTATAGAACTACACATAGATATTTATGATAACTTGATTCAAACAAGCTCAACTCTTCAGCCAAAAGAATGCTAAATCTGTCGTGAGTGCTCAACAGCACGTAAGAATTTGCAGAATTAACACCGTTCCACATTTTTCATAGACAAGAAAACATTATCAAACCATTTGCAAAGCATAAGTCTTGATATTGGTAGCCTTATTCTAATGAGTCCTGGTGGTATATAAAAGGAAAGTAGTATTTCATGTAACAGTTAATAATATTTAAGCGTAAATATTGTACACTTCAAGAAACTGTCTTTCGAACATTTCGAGGTCGATGTTACTAAACGATGCCTAATTATATTACTACATGTGTACATTTACCATTTACTTCATAACCTGCGTTGAATCTTGACCATCACTCAGCAAAAACTGGAATAGTAGTTGCGTATATAAACCACTGAAGCCTCCATATTGTAAACACAAAGTCATTAATATCAACATTTCTTAAATAAGATTTTAAACGGTCCCAATCAGTCCAATGACGCCAGTGTTTTTCCTCGTTGTAGGTTACACTATTTATGGGTGTTCTTGAGTCATGACAGAACATTTCAGGGTCAAAAACAGCCAAAAACATTTTTGGAAATTGTCCTTCGTGTCGTTGTAATTTCTCGCTTGAAGTGAATCACTAATGAATTTCAATGAATTTTCAACAAACTGGCGCATGCGCACGCCAAACGGCCCCTTGTTCCCAAACTTATGTTCTTTTGTTTATTTATTGTTTATTGATCGTTTTCAACAATTCCCATGACATTCATAAATTTAAACCAGCGGCCATGTTGGAGGAATGAACAATAGATACTATAATAAGAAATCCATTGTTCARGTTCCTCGAAGATGGCCGCTGTGACGTAACTTGAAAACGAAGTATTGTTTGCACGAAAACGCAAACGCTCGGTTCAATAGGCCTATCACTCTCTTCAGCTGACTCTGGTTGGCTTATGGATGCCCACGATAATGACAAAGCTTAAATCAATGTCCCTTCGCTGTTTATCAACAGAATGAATATATTCTGCATTAATGATCATTACCTTTGATGCAGTTTCAGAATGGAGACGAATACATGATTTTAAGAGCGTTATTCCCCGGCCAGTCTGTAAAGATACAGTGTTAAAGCTAATGTTTCGAACAAAACTTGTAACTCAACTTACAGAATTTCTAGCGGAATACAGCAATTGTCTGAACATAAGCATATTGAACGTGTACAAGTTCAAATAACAAGATAGAAGTCATAGAATGCGTGACAATACGGGTTGCCTGTGTCTTGCTTGTTGTTCTWGGTGGGATTCCTGTGGCGTTTATCAAATTTGGCGGGAAAATTTCAAGATGGCGGAAGCTATAGTTGGATCACAATCTTCACAGTCGCAGTTCAGCCAGTCTGATTTACCGGAACTTTTACARCAGTATTACAAAAGGCTCTTTCCTTACAAGTACTACTATCACTGGCTCAGTTATGGGAATGGTAGGCTTGATAAAGACGATAAAAACTCAGCTTTTCTGTATAAATTCCCAAGTTCGTTTCTGATCTTGTTACTTAATTTTTAGTTCCAAAAACCTGCTTCACGAATCGAGAGTTCTGCTTCACCCTGAAAGACGATATCTATGTTCGTTATCAGTCTTTTTCTAACCAAGATGAAATGGAGAAGGAGATTCAGAAACGAAACCCCTTCAAGATCGACATCGGAGCAGTTTTTACTCACAAGGTCGGTAAGGGCAAAACATGGTATTCTACATCCAGCACGCCAGAAACTAAATACAAACTGGYTGATTAACGCGGAGTAGGGGGTGCTACCACCGCAACTTGGCATCAGGATCTCAAACCCTGGCCCTGATGCCATTCTATAACACAAACCCCTCTGGGGAGGGTCCTGGAAAATCGAACGGTACTGAAAGATAATCTTCACAGCCTACCCCCTCCCTCTACCCTGTCATTATTTTCCCCTCTATTAATTGACCTTAAACAATTGACCAATCACTTCGTTCACTTTCTATTTGATTGACAGCCCAAAGACCATAAGATGATAAAAGCGGCATCATTTCAAGCCAYTGAGAAAGAACTTGTTTTTGATATTGATATGACGGACTATGATGAAATACGAACATGCTGCAAGTATGTTGGACTTAACTACAGTGTTTTCATTATTTGTATAAACTATACAATTGTTAATAGTAAAATAACATTTGAATTATTAMATTACAGAGGAGCAGAGATATGCCCAAAATGTTGGAAATTTATGGTTGTTGCGATGAAAATTCTGGATGTAGCTTTGAAAGGTAAGGGATTTKTTTCCCTTGATTTGTTGCTTTGTCCTTTCCTGTTTTTTGGCTGCACTTGCACTGTTCAATTATGATTGTTTGCTTTATTTTTAATTTGCTAAATTTTATATTTTTTATCTTATATTATGATGTTTTATTAACAATTGATTTTTCTCCAGAGGATTTTGGTTTCAATCATCGACTGTGGGTCTATAGTGGTCGTCGTGGTGTCCACTGCTGGGTTTGTGATGAWGCTGCAAGAAAGCTTTCCCAAAGTGCTAGATCAGCCGTTGCTGAATATCTTAGTGTGATCAAAGGAGGAGATAGTAAAACTAAGAAGGTTAACCTACGAAAACCTCTTCATCCACATTTAGCGTGAGTGTGCTCTGGAGAATATCAACATGTTACAAGATAATACATTAATAATTGAAATATAATTTTTCTTTCTGCTTGATTAAGGCGATCTGAAAAGATCCTTTCAGAGTATTTCAAGGACTTCATAATCAATGAGCAAGACATTTTATCCTGCAAGGAGAGATGGGATGGAGTGCTTGCATTGGTTAATGATGACTATATCCTTATTAATAATGATCTATTCTGAAAGCGTATTATTTTATAAGGTATAACATCATATATTTCAATTAAGATTTGTTCAATAAGTATTTGTTTACAAAACATTATTGAGCTCAAACAAATGCAGGATTATTTTTCCAGACCAGAATCATTACTCATTACTGAAAAGCCATTGCTAATTTATAGATTAAGATTAACAAATATCGATTATAAAAGTAATGCCCAGCTATGTTATAAAACCTTAACCATATGCACCAATCAGAACCAAGCTTGATACAGTGTGGTCTTCRTCSAATAAGTCATCAGAAGAAAGATGGGAACAACTTCAAGCGGCATTGGAATCGGCTGTAAGTTGGATAATCATACGCATTTAYCGAAAATTATTTAAATATGATAATTGAAAGAGTTGATGTTAATGATGATATCTGCAAGATGATAATAATGGCATGATGATGCCGCAATGATTATGATTGGATAAGGAAATGTCATTTGTAAGAAAAGCTGACCTCAGTTTTTATTCAGGGACAGTGACGTTGTGTAATCTATTGATGAAAATAAATTTCATGTTTAATGTTTTTTGTTTCTTTAGAAACCAAGTGTCTCTATTGCTCTACAAGAGATAATGTTTCAATACACATATCCACGTCTTGATATCAACGTCACCAAGGGATTAAACCATCTTCTAAAAAGCCCTTTTTGTGTCCATCCTAAAACTGGTTTGTCAATTCGTTATATTCATAATAAATTTTTCTTACTTCAAAAATATGACATAATTCTATTCCCTACAGAACTACAACAATAGCACTTAACTAAAATTTAATTTTAATTTCAAGAAAAACTTGTCTTCAATAGTTCTTATAAACCTTTTTCTATCTTGATACTAGTGATATCAATGTTATTTTTAGGACGTGTTTGTGTACCTATTGATATTGAAGAGGCTGATACATTTGATCCTTTCTCTGTCCCAACCATCAGGTAAGATCCTCGGGCTATATTGGGCACACTGTGTAAATTATTAACTCCATGGAATATTCCATTTCAAAGCTTTTAAAACAGTGTTAATGAATATGATAAAAAATTGAAAAATTGAATATTACATTTTATGGAAGCACACCTGTCATTTTTAGCTATACCCATAAAGCAAGAAAACATATTTTACAACATACTTTAAAAAGTAAAAAAGATTTATGATGATTGAAAATTGGAAAATAATAACTACCTAGCAACATAGCCGACTATTATTATGGAAAATAATTGCTTGATTGTAATCTAGAGCGGATTTCGTATGAGTGGGAAACGGACGGTACTGTACTGTGACCGTAATCGTACTGTAACCAAATTCTAGTGCTCCATTGGTTCACCAAAATTGCGATGTCCCACTCATACGAAATCCGCTCTATATGATATTGGCATTTTTCATACACTGTATTCTTCTTGAAAAGATGTTTATATTTTTATATTTATTATTATTTGTCCCATAGTAACCTTTTAGAAGAGATTGATGATTATGACTTAAACAATGTGTCTGAAACAGTCGAAGATGAAGCATTAAAGAAGAAGTCAGTCTCAGGTAGGTTTCAATTATTACTTCTGTCAACAAATATTTAGTTAGATTTATGTGTTTTTTCCTAATTGTATTTGAATAGCATTCGAAAAGACATCACTGGTGAAGGCCATTAGGACATTCAGGAAGTTTTTAATGCCTTTACAAGCTGAAAATGATAAAAGAAGAAAGATGGAGAGAAATGAAGAAGGTAAGATTCATCATTGAATCAAGCAGCCAATCAATCACTCAAGCAATTAAGCAATCAAACCATCAGTCAGTCAGTCAATCGCCTAAACAATCAATTAGTCAATCAACTATACAATCAATCAATCAATTAGTCCATCATTTAATCAACTAGTCAATCAATCAATCATCAATCAGTCAGTCAACTATACAATCAATCAATCAGTCCATCATTTAATCAACCAGCCAATCAACCATTCAATCAACTATACAATTAATCAATCAATCAGTCCATCATTTAATTAATCAACTAGCCAATAAATCAAACTGGATAATTAAAAAGTTCATCATTGAATTAACCTAACAATCAATAAATCCACCAATCAACAGTCTAGTCAATCAGTCAATTATTGAATTAATCAAATTATTTTGTTTCAGATAAAAAGTGTGAATGGTGATTCAAAAAAAAAAGACAATAAATTATCGCATCAGGTGAAGATTGTAGAAAAATAAACATATGGCTCTTTTCTTGCTGTGATCTTGTGGATTTTGCTAGGGTTTAAAAACATCCATCCTGCATTATTAGTGTATTCCTCTCCTTGTATGTTTTGTGCATCATATATCCACTGTTTACAAAGTAAAACATTAAAAGACAATAATTAGARGTTTTTATTTAGACAAAATTTCTCTTACAAAAGATTACAACTTGTTGTATTGTCTTTCATAATAATATTACATTAAAATTCCTCAGTGCTAAACATCAAGTTTTTTTYCYTTTYYTTTTTTTTCTGAAGTAAWTARGTTTTGCAATCTTGCACAAATAGTACTAGAAAATTTACTACAACAAACATAYTCCTTGTTATCAAAACTTCAATAGATAGAATATTATCTGCAATTGGTATAATTTTTACAAATCTTTATCCATTAATAAATATTTATATGGCAATAAATTAATATCTGCCATAATACTATTGGTTGGATTATTTCATGTATATCCTTTCTTTTGACTAATTGTAAATGTGTGCTTCTCCAAAACATGCTTTTTCTAAATGTATTTCAAAGAAATTGTTCTTGAAAGTATTGATCCATTCTGATCTCTGAATGATTTATTTTATTTTACCCAATAATAATAATAATAATAATTGTTATAACTTAAATTAAATCTAATTTCTGGAGTTATACATAAGTCACAGTAGATAAACGCTTTATTCCATTGGAACCATTTTCCTCTTCTGAATCATTTGCCTCTTTTTCCACCAATATGTTAAATCTACAAAACAAATTTATGATCAATTATTGTAGGGTYAAAATTACAGGTATTTCAGGGTCTGGTTGTATGAAGAATGGATAAAGTTATCTACTCTATAGATTTTGTAAGGATTTTATCTACTGGATAAAAAGCAATATTCAATCTTCGTAAATGTGGTCCCAGTATTCACAGGTCTTGAACACTTACTTGATAGTTCTTGATGACCATTTGCTGTCCAGATTATCCCATACAAGAGTGCAAATACCAGGGCAGGGTGGGGTATAATACCTAGAATACCATGGTATAACAGAAATGATATATTAGATATAGAAATTACCTGGACATGGTAGGGTATACTACCTGGAATACCATTAGATTATAAYTATATGATGCATGCTGGAGTATGTACATAGATACCTGCGCAGAGTTGGTAATATAGCTGGACTATCATATTATATTCAGATAATTTCCAGACCTTGATGTTTGGGTAAATATCTGATAAATAGTTCAACAATATTAAGTGTACCCTGTGACTGGTGAGTCATTTTCACTCTTTGGCTCTACATCTAACACCCATATTGCTGGAATGTCATTCATCTTGTCGGACCACCCAGAATGGGGCTTTGGCTTAAATGTTACTCCAAATTTAATATCCTTGCTGAAATTATAAAGATATTCCATTATTGGTTATTTGCATGCTATGGGTCACAAGTATTTTAATAATTATTTTTGTAATCTACTACCATATTACAGAATTGCATACAAACACTAAAACTGTGCAACATAAATACCACTAAATACTGCTGAATTATGCTAGTTCTATTGTTTTCTATTGTTTTATTAACACTGTTTTGTAGTAAATAGTGGAAAGTGTTGCACACATTTAATGTTTGTACTCTAAGTGCCTGATGTAATACATACCTAGTGGTAAAGCACCAAGCCACTGAGTCGCCATCATTTGTRCATTCAAGGCTTTTTTCAAGTGTTTCCTTTGGACCTGACAAAATTGAGAAAGTCGATTTTAAAAGATCTCTAGAGAAGGAACTTAGAACACTCGAGCTCCGTACTATGGAGTCCAAGCACACAAACTCAATTCGTTCGGATTTGAATGGATTTGAATTCTCTATAAACGTGTCAGTATTGCAATATTTACATAGGAGAGAAAGATCTCATCCATGTGGGATGGAAGATATGTAATCGCATGCGTATTTGATGGATCTTCACAGCCAAGGTTTTTATTAAGACATCTATTTTTTCCTTTTTCCGCGGCGATTTGAGCGCTGCCTTGGCCATGATTTGAACAATGACCCATCGCACTGTAGACTGTTTTTGGGATCGGCTTTTTGCTTACCTATTGTGTACTGCTCTGTTAACGATGGAGCTTCCGATAGAAATCTCTGGAATAAATGTGAATTGGTGTCAGATCATTTAAAACATTTGATTTGGTTCAGAAAAGTTCATATCAAGGGCGGGTCCAGGGGAAGTGGAAGGGGTAATTAGGGTGGGTAGTATTGGGCCTCTTCTTTCCAAAGGGTTCCAAAAAATTTATCATCTGAGTGGGACTCGTTCTGAAAAACAAAAGAAGCAAGGTTCTTTTTCCGCAGCCCCCAAAACAACTTTTTATTATTGTTTTCTCGAGTTTTTATGTCCTCGCGAGTATGACACTGTAGTTGACAATTATATGACCACTGGCCGTATTACGGGGTTGTGCTGCCCATTGCACCCGGCCAGTGTTCTTACCATATGTTTAGGAATCGGTGGTAAGCAACCGCCCTCACAATTACAAGAACCTCCAAACTCCTTWGGTAAACTTTCAGGGTCGAAGTATTCTAGTAGCTTTTTTATTTCTCCAGTTTTGAGTACAACACATTTTGATCTTGTTTTGGAATCGAGAAATACGCCTGCACACTTCCATAAAACTGGAAATATCCTATTGATTAGAAAATATGGTTARCTATGGATAGCAAAGGTCATAGATGTGAGAAAAAAACATTTTAGTTGTGGATGATTCCAAAGCCAAAGAGTAAAACAGAGAAGATTTCTTTTCTTACCATGTAGTATTGACAATAAATATCTAAGAAAAACAAAAACATTRTTAGAGTTCTAGCTACCATGGAAYCCGAATTTGCGCAAATTTGAAAAATCTGAAAAATGCACTTACTTTTCCCATTCTTTCGGGATAATATTCCTGATCTAGCTTGGCTAGTTTCTTAAATAAATTGAGKGCTTTCCTACAAGCAAAAATCAACTTTATTAGTTCAATAAATGAATTTATTTCAGATAAGCTGACACATTTCTCCGTTTATGTGCGAGATTTTTGCTGGTAATTCCTGGCACGAGTCATTCCCCGTATCAATTATTTTCTCTATAGTTCCCCTTGCCATTTCTCGATCAAAAGAAATATTTAATAAAAATTCGTAAGGGTTTGGGCTCATTTGGAACGAAATCAAGTAGTAAAGTAGATTCAAACAATCCGAAATGATTCTTCAGAAGCTTCAAAAATTATGAAAAACGTTTTAAGAATTGAGTGGCCCACCTCAGAACTTGTGACGCTCCTGTCATGTCATGTATATGAACCATTGTTTCTACATTTTTACCCTAAAAAATACAGATAATATACGATATACTATAGCATGAATTTTGCTTGATTTGAATGCAGTTTTGGAATTACTATATACGTACTATTTCTTGCGATATTTCTTTCATTCTTGCTATTTGTTTTTCGCAATTCCAGACATGTCTTCTGATAATTTGATCTAAGGGGAGCTAAAAAGAAACAACAGAATATCAACCACATARAATACTCGACATTACAAAACACGTCCTTTCCAGACATGCTTGTAAGACCGAAAATATGAAAGACCCGATATTCTATAAACGGTCCTACAAGAGACGGCCCTACAAGGAATATATAGAGGCCGGAACTCACCTGAATTAATGCTTGGACGTCAGTTCGTCCAGTATATTCGAAATAGGCCGGTCGACCTTGCTTGTCATAGCTATGAAAACCGCTGGACATAATCTAAGATTAATTGAATGAAAAAATAAAAAATTGAATTACCAAGTGTGATTTAGAAAAAGTCTGTTGACAGATATCATTACACCAGGTGCGTCATGGGTAATTTTATGCGATTTTCTTTTTTCGCCACTGAAATCGCTGAAATCGATCCCTTTGTCTATTTGAAACGAAAATTAGCGTTTGAAGATGGAAATTGATGTTTATCAGCTTTTACAACAATAGCTGCAAACGAGTAGTATTAATAATTGGGTCATTAATTTTAAGTAATATTAACAATATTTTATGGTTAAAATGATACGCCATATCACAATCTCAGTGTTTTTGAATACAATATATAAGTAAATAAAAATATAATATATAAAATATAAAGTAAATAAATATAAGAGTACATTTTTACGTAAATGAATAGATAAATAAATGATAAAAAGAAAATTGATACACTAACAACCACAAATGTACACATAAGTTGATTGTRTTTCAACACCGCGGAAAGCGTATGTGTTAAGGCGGGAAAACACCACGCTCCCACGTACAATAATGAGGTGAAACGAAACTAAAACGATACATGACGTCATTGGATACGTGAAGGAGTTCTAGTGATCGTGGGAGCGCGCTACCGCGGCGCGGTAGTCATAGCTAAGAGGAGGTAGCTATAGACTATACTCACATTTTTCATTTCTTTATCCAATGGCCTCTGCAAAGATTCAATGAGTGGGCATAAGATATATGCATAAATGGCTAAGGAACTTCACATATATAGTCACTTACAGGTTTGTCCAATAGCTGGTCGATGCCGTTATCTTTCCTCCATTTTAAAGTAGCCATATATTGTCTGTAAGTGGACAGAGTCTTACATAGGTAAGTGTATATACAAACTGTAATTTTATATATATCAAGTTACATTTTTCTGCATTTTCCATTAGAAAGAAAGGCGCAAGCATAGCTAGTGATGTTTTTGGCTGTTTTCGACATTGCCAAGAGCTTTATATCAATCTAGACTTTATAATATAGGCAATGTATGATTTGCTTGAGAGCGCACTTCACTTCCTTCCACAGCGAAATAAATAMACTCATTTTCTTCTGGACCAATGAGATCGCACGCTTGTTTGTACCTATATGTTACACTCTAACTAGTCTATAACGCGAAAAAAAACTATTTTGTTAATGAAAATGTTTTTTGATTTTCATTTATTTCTAATATTATTTCATTTCGCAGACATAAAATTAAAATACAATTTGGATATTTTGTCTGCGGCAAACGCGATAAAAATATGAGCGTAGGGTTAGGGTTAGGGTTAGGTAATGAGCCTAAAACGTATATTGCACTTGGAAGCTTGATATTCGAATTCGCTGTTTATTATGCAATGATTCTTTTTAACAAGTTATTTGTTTGCATCTTTTTTATTTTCTCCTAAATAAAAACGTAAAACAAGCAGATCACTCACTGATTATTGCGGATGTTAAAGTAAAAGGCTTTTGTTACTAACAGAGACTTTAATGTCAAAAACAATTGGTTGAGTAATTTATTCTGTGTAATTTTCCCTATCACTTTTACCTGTAAGCGCCATCAACGTCAAAGCTCCTTGCCCTTAAAAACCTTAGTAGATTTTCCTAAGAGTAAAATGGACAGGTGTAAAGGAAACAGGAAGCTTAAGGGAGGAGAGGGTGGGGAAATCTTGCAGTTAAACTACTCTTTGATATAAGCAGTATAAGCCACCGGAACTAAATGGATTTGATGCGCTTTCATTAACCTTTCCAGACCGGGAGGCATGGAAACGTTTTCCCCACATATTCACCAGTTTTGTATGTGGGCAACAAGAAACTTCCCTTGAAATGAGAAAAAGCATTCAAATTAAGAAACTTGGTGTGAATCGACTAAACGGTCGACGATCGAGTGGATGTATGGTTTTAATATAGAGGCGAATTGTGATTTCGAGCAATTCTCTAAGTTTTGTACATCAGTTTCTCATTTATCCAAATTAAACTAAACTTTCGTATTTCATATTAAACGTTCATTRAACATTGGTTTTGTGTTGCTTAATTAAGAATTGGGGACTTGTTCCCAAACCTCCCGGTATTGAAAAGTCTGATGATTGCAAATCATTGCAAATAAATTTTCATTCCACTTGGGAAAGATATAGGACAGCAAAAGTTGGTTTCGTTAAGCTGGCATTAACAATTAACAATGAATTATGATAATTTGGGTTGTTCAGCATTCTTCCTTGCGATGCCGCTATTGCTAAATTGACTGATGWACGAAAGGCGTTGCTTAACCTCAGAAAAGTTACTTTTATCGCTAGTACCCGCCACCAATATTTCTTGATCTCAAAGCACAGCTTTAGTTTCATACTGGACYGTTCACTGAAAATGAAAAACCAGACATGCCCAAAAAACAACGGAGAGAGAACGAACAAACCAAACCACATAGTTTGCATCTACTTTCTATTGGAATTACTTATAAAGAAAAGGTGTTACATGTAACTGTTATTACTAATTGTCAGTTGACAACAAAACGCGAATGACAATAGGATTATGGGCGAAYTTCAATAACAAATGCTGGCTTTTTATACCCTTTTAATTGTAACCATATATTTCATGGTCCAAAGAATATCGCTCGGCGCGTGACTAAGATAAAAACGACAAGAATGTCAAGAGCGAAACTAATTTTAGCTAAAGCACGATAAAAAATTGGCTTATAAATGTATGTTATTATATAATGGGACTTTCTGTCAATACATGGACAACGGTTGTAAGTATGAAGTATGTAAGGGCGCCCATTCACGATGACCCATTCGCACCTAATTCAATATCCACATATACACACATACTTTATAACCTTTCCAAGCGCGCCTGCAACGTTTCCGTGTAAACACAAACTGTGAAGTCTGAAGTGCATTATTTCAGTTCTTTGTACTRAGGTGTAATAACTTGGCTTCTTTTCAGTGTTCATGTATCATGCAGAGAATGTAAATTCACTCACTTAGTCTAAATGGTATTGATTTTCTAATACAATTTAATAGGAAGTCTACAACTCAATATCGAATTAATAATTGTGACTTTCGTTTCATACTTCCTCAGTGAAATTATTTGTAGTGGATTTTGTTTTTGCCAGAATTTTATCAACAAGTCGAGTACTTCGATGGAAAATAGCCAAGGCAATGTAGGACCTGTTAAATGCCCCTGAGTTTACAAAAATTAGCCTACACTTGTAATGCAAATATTTTGATTATAATGTATAAACATTAACTTTTTTTTGGAACAGATAAACATTTGGTATTRTTAAACTTTTCAAGTACTGCTACTAGGTTGAACTTTTTTCTTATTGTAATCAAATGTCTAGGTTATTTAATGTTCCCGCCAAATATTGATTTTCAGCATGAGAACTTTGAGGACCTTTGAGACAAGTTATAATATCCGATCCCTGTAAATTGATATATTTTTGGTGACAATAAAATGATAGCAATTCCAAACCAATTTTTCATTTTRAAAATAAAAATGCMGCCGAAAGAGACGTATCAAATTATGACGGCAAACTGAGGTGCGCGCCATGCATTGAAAGCAAAAAATAGCAGTTAACCTGATTATTTTCTAAGATAATAGAAAAAAWTAGAATTATTGATATTTACAAATTCTATGTGGGACTTCACTTTCTTATCCAAGGCTGGTCATTCTCATTTGAACCAACTTAGGTATTACAGTGTTGGCAATTTTTTTCATTTACTGAATAACGTTGTATTGGCGACGATTCCTACCTCTTCAGCCAATGTATCTTTCGTTAATATACTTTTGAATTCATTCAGGGCTAATTGTTGAGTCTTGCTCAAGTCTCCAGAATATCCACTCATGATAAGAATAATAAATAACTGGTGCAACAAAATTATAAACTGATACAGTACAAAGCTACTTAGCTGGAAGTTGGTATACTCAGTTTTCACGTTAAAGAGATGGTTCAATGTCGTCAGAATGTTCAATAATTTATGACAAAATTAAATTGTTTAGAAAAATAATAGCCCAGCGGACCTGTGTGTGAATATGGAAATATGAAACGAACATTTAATAGTGTATGTTAGGAGAATCTAGTCTATGAAAAACAAAATTATATAAATCYAAGCTTTTTTCGTCGGTATTAGTAAAAACGTAAGACTATTTCATATCTTTATTTGCAGGAAATTTGTAAGCCTATCTTCCAAGGTCTTATACATATTCATGGTTAATCATTTTTCAGTAAAAGAGGAATTATTTATTGATGAGAAGCTATTTTCTCTATACATTTCTACGTTCTGTAGCGATGTCTCAGAATAAGCCAATTGGAACACGTGGCAAAAATTACCAAACTTCCCGGATGTGTCCACAGAATGCAAATGAAGATGTCTAAATATGAGAGTAGCGCGTGAAGACCTTTTTTCGAACGCGTTTTCATCATGTAATTGCAAAAGATGCTTTCCATTCGCCATGCTAACGGCTTCGAGAGTTTCTGCGTGAGGTTCGCACTTGAGAATTTTTTCCCGATCGGTGCATAATCAAGCAAAAGTTGAGCATCAAAAGCCAGGTCTTGCCGGCTTCGGCAGATAGTGAAACAAATCGGTCGCGTGCTTTTGTTTAGTTGCTGTGCAAGGAGTGGGTGAATTCATTAGAGACTAGATTGAACTTGTTTCCAATTACAGCTGGAAATACCAAGATGAAATCTGACAGCTCAGACAAATCGGAAAGTTGCTGGTGAGTACAGTTTATGGGATCATAAAAACGTTGTTTACGTGAATTGTTTTATCAAGCAAGCATGCTGACTTGCTGAAAGTCCATCATGTTACATCCAAGACCTCTCACGCTTGCAGAAAAAATAATTTGTTGTTTTTTGAAGATCAATGCTATATAAACAATTTGTTGATCATCTAAGCATTTACATGTTCTGACTTGATTAGGTTGAAAGCTTGCAATAACTAAGACTCAACGCTATGCACACAAGATATCACACTGCAAAATGTTGTCCTTTATATTGTCATTCTGGAATAACGTTCACGTTACTTTATACCATTACATTTGAAGTTTACTTCCCTAGACATAATGTATATCTTTTAACATATAAATTGAACACAAAAAAAGAKTATTTTACCGCTAGTTGTCGGAAGTTCTCCCCATCCATCCCTCCCTTTCCCCAAGAAACTTTTTCAAACTCATTTATTTAAGKCAAAAACTTTAAAGCATTTAGCTTATTGACCTATTTTGTATCTAATGKTAGGGCTTTTAATAACATATTTAGTCTTATTCATGTACAAAAGACAAATGTTTTTGTGATGTTCAGCTGTAATACATGCAAGGTCTAACATCAATAAATCAGATAAATTTGACATATGCATATATTTTTGCATAATATTAAGCTAGGAAAGTTTTTTTTTTCTATTTTTCAATGCCTTCTCCATRCATACTGCATATTTACTTGGGTGTATAAATGCATGCTGTTATCAAGATTGTGAAGGGTAATTTAGGATGAGGAATAGTGCCGTAATACCTATCTTGATAATGATAAAGTGTTTTAGTTGCTTTTGGTTAGATATTAAGCCATTTATCACTACCTTATGTATTTCTAGAAATAGTTCATGTCTCCTCACATTCTGGCATATAAAATATGTTCCGATTGGTGTTAATAGATCAGTAGGGGATGTTTAGACCAACTATGTTTTGAGAGGTTTTTTTTGAAATAAATACTCAAAACTCTTCACCATGAGTGTATGCTGACGCTGTTTGATACAATTTGCATTTCTTTCATTGCTAGATATCACTTGASAAGATTGTATTTTTACCATTCCCAACTCATTTCCCCTCCCACCTTCCCTATCCAGTCTGTTATTCCAGATACAATATTATGTTATTCTAAAGAGTTGCCAAAGCCGACTGTGAAAAATATGAGACACTGCATTAWTAACTCTTCATCTTATCAATGTTCATCAGCCCAGGCAGACCCGATCTTGTCTACTGATATCATACATGTAGAAAGTTTAATTTTTCACAAAACAAAAGGCGAACTGTTTGTTGCTCACTTATTGTATTATTTCTATCATGGCTTGTATTATACAAAGGAATATTGAACATGAAGTCAGTTTTTTTTAATGAATATTAATAAGTAGAAGAATTATATAAGTCTTTCTTGCTTTTCTTAATTCTTCTGATTAACAGCAACTCTTTGAAATAACCGTAGCTTGTTGGAATTTAATATCATCGTGCTTGAGGCTAATTGAACACTGTCTGATAATATTCTGAAATTAGTTCATGAGACAGAATCGTTAGGATATCACACATTTAACAATGAAAACTCATTGTYCAAGAAGACATTGGCCAATCTAATGTTTTTTTTTTTATCTTTTTCCATAGTGATGACAGCGATGATGAGGTAATTCTGAAATTTAACTAATACTCATGTTGGAGCAATTGTATTTTCTCACTCATGGATTCTTGCTTGCTGATTGGTTGATTGGGGGTCAATAACAGGACAGTAACACTGTACTATCATATCTCAAATGTTCAGTTAAAAGATAATAAATGAATTTTATGGATTAGAGGTATTGTTCACTTTGGAGATTTTTTGAAAACAGTGACTTTTTCACCATTTATATTTCCCATCCAAATGTATGTGGTATAAAAATGCTCTTGAATAATGTGGAGATGCTTGAAAACATCAGCTTAGACTGATGGTTGAAAACAGAGAGTTTTGAATGCAATGCATGTTTAATTTGTGGATAAAAAAATAATCCCCATTTCAAGAAATCTCAAGATTGTGTGAATTAACTGGCCTTAACCTTGCAGCCAATCAACAAGCAAGAACTATCTAAATTGTCAAAAATGTACTGTCTACAAATGCAAGATGTTTTAGCTCTTTATGAAAACTAATTTATACTGTTTGTGTTGTTGTTTAGAACAAAGACCAGGAACATGTTCCAGTCATATCATCAACTAGCACAACRGAAGATGAGCCATCATATGAACACATTGCAGAAAACATATATCTTATTAATAAGTAAGTTCAACTTTTCAAATATGACCAGGGTTGTCAACCCCAGACAATTTCATATCTTGCGGTAGATAAGCCCACCATTTTGCGKGTACATGTACTTCATCAAACTTAAATTTAAAAAATGCAGATTTTTTCTAAAAATCAGGAAATTTTAGAGTGCAATCATTAAATGTGKGCAATACTTTCCACTATTTACTACAAAATAGTGTTAATTAAACAATAGAAAACAATAGAATTAGCATAATTTAGCAGTATTTAGTGGTATTTATGTTGCACAGTTTTAGTGTTTGCTCTCGATGTTGTAAGTTGACACTTTATCTGGGAGGTTTAACATGAGCTCTGTACAACCAAAAGTACTGTTCAACACTGTCACAACATAGAACTAACGGCTAGATATTTAATAGATAAAAAGTGCAGTGAAACTAGAAATAGTACTTACTAATTTACATGGAGCTTACTTTGATTTATACAAACATTTTGTACTCATATAATGATAAATGAAGATTTTGTTCCTAATGTGTAATTAATATCATGAAAAAAATTAGTGTGTAATTTATTTGGTGAAAGTATTTTTTAAAGTATTTAAATTATAAATACATTATTGCAGAAACATTGTCTAAGAAAAATGAATTTTTGCAATTATTTCTAAACTTGAACGTTTTATTTTGCAGGAAAAAACATATTAATAAAGAAGTCCGTAAGATGACATGTGAATGTGAAYCTGGTAAGTTGACTGCACTGCATAAAGACAGGAATTGCAAATCTTTTATTATACATTTCTGTAGCCTGCTCTTTGAATGAGTCTTGCTACATGTACCTGTCTAAATCCAATGTTGCTTCGAAAGCTTGTTTTTTAATGCTTCCATGAAGTTTTTGCTCATTGACAAAGCTGAGAGTGTATTGTAGTCAAGTTATTTTTTTATTGCTATAATAATACACTTATTATTATATATGATTTTAAGGTTCTTGTTGAATAAGAATTAATGTGTGTCTCTTTATTWAGATGATGGTGAACCTTGTGGAGAAAACTGTCTAAACAGATTGTTGATGATAGAATGGTAAGCGACATCCCTGACTAAGTTCAGGCATCTGTGCTTGCATTTGGATGACATGTCTTTGCGGTTATATAGTTGGCCCCTAGCATATAGCTGTAGAGATCATATTAATTAATTGTCCTTATGAATTCAAGGTATTAATATTAGTATTATTTTTCTAAAATAGTAATCATAGATGCCCATGTGGAGATCAATGCACAAACAAGAGATTCCAACAGGTATGTAACATCAYAGGAAACATTATGAAATCATTGTTAACATCTAGATAAACGTAGTGTGCTTACAGATATAGACCTGGGGCTGCTTTTATGAAGGGTGGATATGGATTTTATCAGTTGGATAAGGATTTACAGTATTTGGTGGACAGCACTWTTCATCCTTTGTACAACCAGTACCCGGTGTATAGCTTCTGGCAATACTTAGAAACTCTTTTTAAGCTACTTTTGTATCTTGTAGGGCTGCAAAGTTAAAATAGAAGTTTTCAAAACAGAGAARAAAGGATGGGGAGTGAAAACACTTGAAGACTTGGCAGAGTAAGTTAACCTTGTCTGGGTTTCCTTTACTTTGTACTTTGCTTATTTTTCTCTTCTTGTCAGAAACCAATTTGTAATAGAGTACTGTGGTGAAGTTATGAACTATAGAGACTTTCAGAAAAGAGCTGAGCAGTACGATCGTCAAAARCGTAGACACTACTATTTTATGACACTAAGGGCAGATGAGGTACGGTATATGTAAAGTAAAATAAAATAAAAATAAAATATGTAAAAAGTTTCATAGTTCATTTGTTGAAGATTTCTCAACTTTGTTTTGGCTTTTGAGAAAATCATTTTTGAACTTTTTATGCCTTGCTTTATATTCCAGATTATTGATGCTACATTCAAAGGAAGTCTATCACGTTTTGTAAACCATAGTTGTGATCCCAATTGCGTAACACAAAAGGTAGGCAAAAGAGCTCATTAGAGAGTTTAAGCATCACGTTAATGGCAAACGGCAGAGCTGAACCAATGACCTAAGAATTTTGTGCCTGACCTTGTGCTTTTGGTAGTCATTTTAGAGAGTGACTTTTCACGATTATGGTAGCCTCAAACTAACCTGCTCTCACATTGAAACTGCAATGTTAAAGTCCAAAAAAGCAGATCACATGATCTTTTCTGCTGTTTGCCGTGAACGTCATGCTAAACCTCTCTATTATTTGCTTGCTTACATTTGTATATTGAACATCATATACATGTATTAAGAGTTGAACCAGGATATGCTTTAAATGAGCTTTGAAAAACTTGACTCACTGCATCTAATTGTTACCTGTGTGTCTTTACTTAAACAGTGGACGGTGAATGGTYTGCTAAGGATTGGATTCTTCACACTGCGTAAAATTCCTGCAGGTGAAGAGCTAACATTTGATTACCAGTTACAAAGATATGGGTAAGTGCATGCTCTCAGCATGATTCAATCTCTTATTTTGTTTTAAATAGTTTGTACACATTGTACATAATTTGTTTCTTAGCAACTTGAGTTTTCTGAGTCATTGCCATGGAAACAACCCAKAATCTACATGCATAGTGAATAATGGTTCATTTGAACAAGTTATATTAAAGGTTTTTGCACAAATTTAATAATTCACTGTACTTTATTATTCTACAGGAAAGTAGCTCAGACTTGTTACTGTGAAGCTTTCAATTGCCGTGGAATCATTGGAGGAGAGAAACAYACTCCACTCAAGAATGCCATTGAAAAGATAGGTAATAAATATTGATGGTATCATGAAGGTTATGAAAGGAAAGGCAAAAATAACAATTCTTGGGTTGCAACCCCCGAACTGAAAATTTATCATTCGTTATTATTCGTTATTTTCAAAAACCAAGTAGCAAGTCATAAAGAGCATAGTCAAATTATCTAGAATACGAGCTTTTAGTCCTGTAGCTTACTTTTCGATGAAGATATAAGMRAATAAAGATTTGAAAAATTTGGTTAATATGTATGTTTTTTTTTACATTTTAATCAAAATATTTAAAAGTAGTCAGCAAAATTAAAAAATTAGGTGATGAAATTCTCCTGTTGCTTCCTTCACATTTTACATTGTGCAATATTTTATATGTACTTCTAACTTATCAATTTGAACTGTGTCCTTTCTAAATTGCAAAGCGTAATGAATTTATGAAAAAGTTTATTCATATATTTTATGTGTGCTTCTAGTAACTGCATCAACCAGTTCCCCAAGGAGAAATAGAAGGAAAATTGGAAGAAGCTTAGAAAATGACTTTGATGATATGTCGGTATGTATACAGGATTGAATACAATTTAACAKTGTAGTTTATTTGGTGGCTCAGACTTGGTGTAGGGCTTGGCAGGATACAAAAGATGGTTTATTTTTTAAGTTTTGGCCTGACAGATGCTGATGAGATGCAAAATGTTTGAGCAGTTTACATGGTTTCCAGGCAGGCCTACCGACCTTTCCAATTTTGGCTGTCCTTGGAATTTTCATTGTTCGATTATTTCTTAAAGTGCTACTTGCATGAAAATTTCAAAACTTGAAGAAATAAAATATATGACTCATTTATATCTATTAAAAGCAATTGTGGGAAAATATTTGTTTGGGAATTATCCCACATCAGAGAAATTTTGATTCAAAAGATGGAAGAACAAAAGGATGGATCAAATGACGTCATCCAAGTAGCCCTTTAACTAACAAGCAAGGAGTCCTATTAATTACCCATTAATTATATATCCACATATTRATCTCAAACTAAGAAAATAATAGACTAATCCCACACTCAATTGGATGAACACAAGGCAGTAGCTTCAAGTAGAGACTGGAGTATTATCTTTTGATGGAAACTATATGCAGCCTCAAATTGAAGCCATTGCAAGTGTGGGACATTGGACATGTACCTATTTAGGATTAAGAAGTGGATATATAATTACATGTAATATTAGAGCATGCCAAAAGTAACAAGAGAACGATGAAATCGATGGGAGAAGATATAGCAACAAGTGAACAAAGCCTGTTGTTTAAGATCTTGCTTTATAGAATTGCTTTTACATGTATTYATGAACAAAAGTCTAAATGAGTGAGTTAACCAATGGCTTTCATTGAATTAGATTGAAGAGGAGCTAGAACGACTGATAGGCGACCATCATGGTATGACACATGGTGAYCAGGCACTAAAACTGTCCAGATTGATGGTTAGAGCAGAGACAACACCACAGCGAATCATGTTACTAAAGGTTTTGCAGGTAAAACAAAGATGCTATTCTGTCATGCTGTCTAATCTGTTTACWTATTAATAGCTGCTGTTTATTGAGTGGCAAAATAACGTTTTTTTGGTGGTGGTTTTGGGCGTGGTTGGGGGGGATATATATTGTTTTGTAAGTCTTCCCAAAGGTCCTTATTAGTTTCTGTTCTTCCAAATGTTGTGTACTCAAAACGCAAACGTGTTTCATTTTCTACAGCTTCTGAATGCGGTAAATAAACGATTATAAATTTAAATTTTAAATTTTTAAATTTATTAGTTTTGCCCCTAGTATGGGCAGGGACACCGCAACAGCGTGAGCCAATTACTGCGGGCCCTGTACTCTCACACTCGCTTACCTCTACATTAAGTATTTTAGCACACAACACTCCTTACATGTTGATTTTTGCTGAGGGAGGAAAACCGGAGGACCCGGAGAAAAACCCTCATGGCAAGGGAGAGAACAACACATCAAACAAACTCAAACTCACATATGGTCCGTGCCCGGGAATCGAACCCGATTTATATTATTTATATATGTATATATTATGTACCCGAATTATATTATGTATTGTGTCATTAATTGATCAATATTTTGTATATTTATTGCAGAACACAACCGACCAGAATTGTCTCAAAGCGTTTCTACGGTTCCAGGGTTTACTGTTGCTATGGAGCTGGATGGTTGATGCTGGTTCCAAACCTGCAGTGAAGCTACAACTCGAGGTAAAGCCACAGAATGGCAGACATCTTTTGCTGTGCTAAAACAGCGTTAAAACAATAGAATGTCGTAATAGGGCAACTAGGACTAGTTTTAGTGTAGATTCGCTGATGCACTGTTGACAGTTTTTCAAACTTGGGCACCAAATGGCATGAAAAAGCACTGGACATCTCGTGCGCTTTGGTCCGAATTTTTGAAGTGATATTGTTTTCAAAGCTCCAAATGCATTATGCGATGCCTTGCCCCAAATCCAAAAAGTATCAGCGATTGCACACACAGAAAATATTCTCTAAGCTGGCATGAAGGGAATATATCAATCTCGTGAAACAAAATGTCAGGCTGTACCTGCCAAACAGATGCAAATAAAACAATCGTCGATCTTTTTTCTAATCAAATTGCTTGAGCTGAGTTTATRAGCACTGATTTCGTAATCTGAATTTATTGATATGGGAGATTTTGTCAAGTTGGACGAACTAAATGTCAATTGATTTACTGCAACGCGGCAAAAGATCGACGTCTGAACTGGACCTCATTTATTGGAATGCATTACGGGTCTAACGCGTGAACCCCATATAGGTTAAAAAGTGTGATTGGTCCTTGTATTCCGGCGCAGTTCAGCGCATAACTAGATACTCGTGAATCACGGGATTTTACGAGAATAAATGGGCATTACATSATAATAGATGGGTTGCCTGRGGTGGGGTGTCAAARTTTTAAGCAATCTTTATCATCCACACCTTATCATCCACAGCTTCTTGCAACATTAAAAGATCTCCCGGTTACAAGTAAAAACCAGCTTGAAGACAGTAAAGTGATGCGTATCGTGAACAAATGGGCATGCAAAGACATGGCGGAACACGAAATGCCGTCCTCRTGTAGCAGCCAAGAAGAAAATCCCGATGATAAYGACACAACACTAACTCAAGACGACGTTGAAGCTTTAGAACGATCAAAAAAGAAACTAGGTCCATTCCGACAGCTTTCTAGTCCTGGTTCGTCGATAAAAGGAATTATGGACGATGATAGCTTGGACAGTAAGAAAGCTGACAAGTCGCCGGATGATTTATCTGAAGATGACGGGAAATCTACCGAGGATGAACAGTCGTTACTTTCAGAAGAAGATGGCGATTCTAATGTTGGCTCTCAAGCGTATGAACTGTTGAAACAGTGGAAAACTTTAAAGGTTGGCTACTTTCTAACATTATTCGTATTAAATKTTTCTTAATAATTCATATTGTCATTTTTTTTCTGACAGGAAGTTTACAGAATTCCCAAAAAATCTTCGGTAAGTTAAATGTTTCCTAGACTTTGGATTTTTTTTTTTATTTTGAAGAAATGAAAATCGGTTGCAATTGAAATAGTTCAACGAGCCTTCTAGAGTGCCTTAAAAGATTTATTGTTAAATTTCTTGAAGGCATTTTTTCTTAATCGATATATTTTAATGTCATTTGGTGAAATACGATCCATGAATCATGATGTTTTTAGTACTTCATGATGTTCTACTAAAAATAGAAAAAGGGAAGTTTGAATACAGATGTATCTAGAATTTAAACACATCGGCATGGACAGTTAATCGAATTGTAATATCGCAAAAAAAAATAATAAATAAATGGAAAAAGGTTAGATTGAGAAAACTGTTAGCAGAAAGAGTGTTTGTATTGCATAACCTGTTGTCGACAAGATGAACTATTACTGATCTTCCAACTTCTTTTTGTGATGTTTATGCAACTGTGTAATGCGAAACTCTTTTTTGCACATAACCGAAGTAATTACTTGCCAGAGTTAATAGAATTGAWCCTTGTGCACGTAGTTCGCATTATCTGCTTGTATTAAATGTTATAACCCTAGCAGGTTCCTGCTTTAGATTGAATTCCGCATTTCATGATCTTGAAATTTRATATATATTCATGAAAGTGATGATCAAAAGCATACACGGAAAGTTATTCCATATTCAAATGTTTGGTGTTGTTTCAGAAACAAGCTGAGGTCGTTGCTACAAGTACAACTGGAATTCCAGGTTTGTTGTTTACAACTACTCTCCTTTGCTGACGAAATTGTCCTTCATGCGCACATTTCTGTCTTGACGCATCGAGCTCACGACGGAAGTTGAAATATMTCTTTTTGTTTTGTTTCTGTTTTCCCATTTTCAAACTGTTTTGTCGYGTTTTCGTATTATAAACATCAGATTAAGTTACGAATAAAGACTTCTCAAACAAAATATTTATTTTCAATAAATTCAAGATGTTCAGCGCAATGGCAGTTCGCGATGGGAAATGTATAACTCACACCTTGTCGTGTTTGCTAATTGAAATACATAACCCCAAAATGAGTTTTGTAAAACAGCAAAATAAGTACATTTTCTCGGCGTGAAATCGGCAATATGAAGTTTTTTTTTATAACGAAGAAAGCTAGCTGTAAAGTGTAATATGAATTATTAAATTGTACTCGCTCATGACTGAAAATATTTTTTTCCTTGGTCTTATTTAGCTGCCAAGGTTATGGAGCGAGACTACAGGTAAGAAAAATACTTATAATGTGCTTATGTTATGTAAGTTTGTCTTATGTAACTACGTCAGAACGACGATTGTTGTAAACCGCATCATMATTTCAACTTCCTTAATAGTCGGAAAAAGCCAAACGGACCAAAGACAGTCTTAAAATGATAAATAAAATGATAATAAATTTTAATTATCTAATGTCATCCTAATGACCTAGAAAAAGACTAAAAAACAATAATTATAATATATTTTATGGCCCACACCCCCCGAATACTACGAAATCCTCAATTACACGGATACCTCTACAAGAACAATATGGCGGTTTCTCTCGTACTATTTCTACCTCTGGATATAATGTTAACTGCAGCATCGAATTGGGTTACAAAGTGGGAGAAAAAAATCACAACATAGTCGTTCCCATTCCAGGAGAGCGAGTCAATATTGTCAGAAAAGTATTTCGATTTAACTCGTCAACTTTTTGACGATCTTGCTGTTTAAAAGTGGAGTCTTTCATCTGCAAATTACTATACGTGTCTCGGTAGTTTGAGGTAACATTGTCAGTTCAGGCAGTTGTTTCTCAGCGGTTGCGAACTCATCAATACGTTCGTTGGTTTCAAAAGTTTATTTTTTCAATGGWACAAATCCGCCAATTATCGTCAAGGTGTTCGTAGCTTTTACAGGTTATGTAACTTGACAGGAAGGTAACTTTCAATCGTCAGACATGTTGGTATTTTAGATCAATCAAAATACAGCGAGAGAAGAAAAAGAAAGTTTGTAGTCGCAAGGCAGTTGTATCGTCTTCCACAAGCCGGAAAACTATAGATAGGAAGGTCAAACACAAGATGTTACCAGACAGGTATTAGTTGAAAAGYGATAATATCATTTTACAGGAAAACACCATATTCTAATTGATCTTCTGTGTTTAGTGTTATTGTCGTAAGTCAACCAGACTCTTCTGGAAACATCGAAGACACTCAAAAAGACTCTTTTACCCCTCCCCCATTGATGTCATTGGACGTACCAATCAAATCCCAAGGGGACCCCACTAATGTCGATCCAATACAGAAAGAAAGTGAGAGGAAGGCGATATCTAGTACTACGTCGCAAGATACGKCACAGGAAAAGAGTCACGCCGTCTCTAGTGTGTCACATGCCGATCCACCTGAGTCACGGCATCAAGAATTCGGTTATAAGCAAAGGATGGGTAAYGGTATGGGTGACCAGGGGGGGTYTTTCAACACGCTATGGACATCACCCGGAAAATCGAAAAAGTTTGGAAAGAAAACAAAATGGAAARCAAATACACTCCAGGCGTTCCCACCGTCACAAGTCGGTCCGCATGGTATACCGGGTAATATGAACCCCTTGGCGTTCAGCACTGCCGGYAATGTAAGCAGTACTCAGGTACAAAACTGGCAGGGTGCTTCCCAGCTGTGGCAAAAAGGACCTCAGGATCCCAGYCAAGGACCRCCGTTTTTTGGTTCCGCGGAACAGCTTGCGTACCAGCAGGGACAGTTTAGCCAGCAAACATCAGTGGGGTCTGGCAATATGGCGCCTTGCAATGTGCCWCCACCAAACCTATCAATTCCTCCAAACTTTCCTCTTAACATACCTCCACCGAACTTCCCTCCTCCGCAACCATTCGCTCCATCATCCTATATTCGACCACCTATGAACGTGACAAGGTTCCCTAACGTACAACAAGGAATACCACCACAGCAAAGCCCTTTTGTACCTAACTATCCWCCACCACARGTACCCTTCCAGACTTACAGCTCTCCATCACAATATAACGTATCAAAAAYTGATGAATCATCGTCAAAAAGACTTTACTCTCAACAAGAGGCTCTCGTCAAGACAGCGTCTCCGTTAAAGCARAGCGGTGGTACGCGGCGATCTTCGTTGTCGCCGGCCAAACCTAAAAAATCTACAAATTTACCAGCGAATTGGAAAACAGCTACAGATCCACAGGGGAATATTTATTATTATCATACTGTAACAAGGTAAGAACTTAGTAGTTGAACATTTATTTATTTATTCWTTCATTCTTTTAGTTTATCATTTGTTTATTTATTTATTCATTTTTGTGTAGACAAACCCAGTGGGAAGTTCCCAAGGAAGAAGGCCACGACATGGACATAGATACGCCATCAGACGAAGTACGTTTAGTTTTCATGCCTTCAGTATTAGCTAAATGCTTACAGAAACTCTCTTCATTTCAATAGGAACTGTCGTACAAAAAGAAAAAACCGCGCACACCAAAAACGCCCCCAGGGACTCCCCCCAGGAGTCCGTTAACGTTCACGACGGCTGCTGCCGACACAACCCAAAATAAAGGAATGCTGTCGCAATCTTCTGACCTAGCGTTCAATCATCCTGAAGGACAAAAACAGAAAATGAAAGAAGCTTTTAGAATTAAGGTATGTTTTTACGAAACCTTGCTTTCTTGGTAGATAGACTGTATGTGTGTTTCTTTTTTCCCCCTTTTTTAATGAAATCTCAATCATATGAAATAAGCAAAGATTTGTTCGAGGACCAACTGTTTGGCTTATTTGTTGTGTTGATATTTTTACCTCTAAGTTGTATCGTGTGTATATTGTTTGTTTGTTTATTTGTCTAACTCTTTATATTGGAACTCTATTTTATTTTTTTCAGTTATCGAATGTCGTAGTGAACAGTCTTAATCCCTATTACAAAGTAGACTGTAAGCAAGGTCGAATAACAAACGCAGATGACTTCAAATACTTAGCTAGAAAAGTAAGTCGTTGCTTTGGTACTTCCATTATTCTCTATCGTTTTTTCCCCTCTCGCTTCTCGCTTACTTTCTTTAATCTGTTCTTGTTGTTCTTTCTTTCATTTCGCTCCCCCATTCCTTTCCACCCTCCTTTCTTTTTTTCCACATATCTTCATTTTTCCTTTCTCCATTTATGCATCCAGTTATTCGTTCTTCTTCCCTTTTTATTTCTCCCCCTTCCCCTCCWCAATCCTTGATTTTCATCCTTCTTTCCTTGAGCTTACTTCATTTCCCTTGCTTCCTCTCTTCCATTTTTCCTTTTTCCATATTCTTCCTTCTCCTCTTCTTTCTTAGGCGTACTTTCTCTTCCCCTATTCTTCCTCCCTTAATCCATCAATCTGTGCATCCATTCCCTTTGTCCTTTCACTGTTCACTCCTTTAGTTCTCGTCTTAATACGAACATTATTATTTCAGTTAACACATGGTATCATGAATAAAGAGCTTCAACACGTCAAGTCTGAGGATGTACTACAGTGCAATGATTCAGTCAAAGTCAAAACCAAAGAGTACATACGTAACTACATGAGGAAATACGATGCCGTTTATAAACGGTCATAGCAGTTACACTGCATAGGAACATTTTACAATTTTTTCGCTGTATTATGCRCTTGTTTTAAGGAAGGTTGTCGGGGAGAATGAACAAGATTGCACGTTGATAAWGATTCTTCATTCATTTACGTTAGTCAATATTGAAGGCTTCACTAAATAATGATTGATTAGATTCGATTTGGTTGTATTGTTTCCCATTTTCTATAGCGAAAAAACAAATATAGWTTACCCAAAGTACCATCCGATCATTCATTCTCCCGACAACCGTTTTTWAAACTGGTGTATTTCCATTCATAGCCTGTGCAAGGTAATGTAGTCTCCAATCTGCCTCCATCGCCGAACATTTTATTATTTTCTGTGTTATTTGCAATCACTTTTATACTATTGTCAATATATTGTAAATATGTAAATTCTTTTCGTTTGCACTCACGCTTGTATTTTTTGTTTTGTTTTATGAATATTTTGCGGTTTTTAGCTTTTTTGTACATAATTTTCATCAGAAAATTCTCATTTCATTCGCCACTTGCTTTCATGATTCATTTTTAGTAATTTATATTTTATTTTAAATGTTTTATTGTGCTCTTTGGCTGGTCATCTTTAGTGTTGGACACTTTTTAAACTTAGTGTTGTTATTAGTACATAGTATTTTTAGATCTTTGGTGGCTGTCCATGAGAAAAAAACACGGAAAAAGCATAGTGAAAACCTTCAAATCTTGCACACTGCAAATTCATTCTCGTACCCCTGACCCTTCTCAATTTCACCGAAGAAAATCGAAGGCTGGAGACCATGCCTGAAGACACAGAATCTGAGTCGTGCCTGACTACAATGTTGGCCTCACTCAAGCGTTGAAAAATGTTACAAGAAGTGCGAGGTGCACCATGGGATTGACGAATGTACAAACGAAGTCACGGATGTTTTTCTTTCGTTTTCAGGCTTTTTTGAAAGAACAAGTATAAATTATTAAATTATAGGTCTTTTAACATAYTTAAGTAAGTAAGCATCTAATTTTTTGCTCATCCAAAGATTTGTTGGCTTTCCAAAGTGGTAATTTCGTAACGAAACTTCGTCTTCCGTAGTTTTTGAAAGACATCCGCCATTTTGATACTTTCATCAGTACCATGATGCACTTCGACGACAAACACATGACGTCATTAAGCTATTAGACCGTACAGAATATAATATCTTATCGGAACCAATCTTCAAAGATTCATTTTTCTTCAAATAGAGAAGGGCCTAGGTTCGAGGATGACAGTAATTTTACTACCAAAACCGCGAATTTAAAATTCGTGAAATATTGCTTAATTTTTACGAAATTAAATCAAGCCTTTCCAGGTTAGACTTTTCATGCTTTTGGTACTAGAATCTTTTGCTATGGTTAACCCTTTGAAAAGTATTTTTGTCAATATTTAAAATGTTCTAAAACCACATATTACATCCATACACAATACCTAAATGCTGCAAAACAGCGGGTAATGGCTTCTGGTAGGAAAAGAATGAAACTGGCCGGAAAGGTCAAATATGTTATTAGACTCATTGAAATGTTAAATTATCTGTGCCCAGTACGTAAAAAGATTAATATATAAATTGTATTGTTTGACTGTGAAGTAAATAATTTTTTCATTTTAGTTTTTAAGTCATTTGTGTATTGTAAGCCAATCACTTTTATCACATGCCATGGCAAGAGACAGAATAAAGTCATTCAACAATGTTGTTTATGAAACTTGAATTTTTGTGTTCATAAATGTCTCAACTTGGGGTAACTCATTTCATGTTTCGATTATACCATTTTGAAATACGTATTTGATTAATTGCTGTTTGCCTATTATGACTGATTGATACATCGATCGATCGTTGATTGATTGATTGAATCGAATATTAGTCGATTAAAAGTTTGTTTTGATTGATTGATAGTTAATTGATCGTTTGCATCTATTGTTAGTAGAGTAATGATGTTTTGATTAATTGTCGCATCGAATGTTGATTGATTTATCGATCGAATCGACTGTTGGTCCAGAAATTGTTGTATTGATTGACTGATACGTCGATCGTTTGATTGTAACCTCGATAGCAAATGGAGTGTTGGTTAAGTCTGAATTGCTGCTTTTATTGATTGAGTTATCGATCGAATCGATAGAATTTGACACATTTTTGCTCTATTCTCGTAATTTCCTTCATTTTTGTGAGTACTAGGACCTGTATCAAGTCTATTGAATCGACTGCTTGTCGAGTAATTGTCGTATCAATTGATTGGTTTATCGATAGCGAATCGGGTGTTGGTTGAGTAATTGTTGTATCAATTGATTTATTTATCGATCGTTGATTGATGGGTCGTTTATTTGATTGATTGATTGACAGATTGTTCGATCGATTCATTGTTTGATTGACAGAAGTAAATACATTCAGGTTTTGAAAAATTCTGATGATAAAATAAATATAAAATGAAATAACATATATACTGTCTGATGAGTGCTTAAGCACGAAACTCGGAGTAACGGCAAATCTTGCCTCTTCGTTATTATATATATCATGGATAATAAAATCACGTGCTTTTATTATCCATGTATATATAAAATAATATAACAAATACTACCAATGCTGTAATTCAGATAAATTTATTTATAATCACATGCGTATGTTGCGTTTCCTTTAATAATGGCAATGGTACAATAATAATAATAATCTTCATAATATTAATCCAATATTTAATTATATATAATATATTACACATTGAAATTTACTATGTTTGCAACATGAAAGACATCGACAAGGATCATGGGTCTATGATCTAAGAATAGAAAAATAATCCTTATGTATATAATATATGGTATACTACAATGTTAGCCAGTCTATTATCGCTACAGTGTCAAGTAACTTACTCTAAACTAAACTACAGTTTTGGCAGTTTTTCAAAATTAATTCTTCTTCTTACAAATGATATTTTTCATACTCTCTATTTCATGTTATCCAACGCCCTCTTCCATGAGCTAAATAATGAAACTCTACACTTTTCTRCTATTTTCATATACTAATATATATTTTTTATTGTTCAGTGGTGTTTTTTATTTTTCATTCTTTCAAAGAAGAAAATAACGCTTCTCTCATTTTATATTCGACGTTTTTCAGTCTAAAGAAAAGCGAACTTATTTCAAATGAATTATTCAAGACTTTGGACTCATGGCTGTATGCCAAACCATAAACATTCCTACTCTATCGTTGACCTTCGACTTTTGTGCTTAAATTTGAACAGGATAAAAAGGGAGAAAGAGAAAGAAAGAAGGAAGAAATTAACTATAAAAAGTGAAGAAAGAAATTGAAAGGAAATAGAAAAGAAAGAGAGAAATTGAGAAGGAAAAAACTAGCAAGCACAAACAGATATCTACATAAGTTTAAAAGCTCTCTCCTTAAATATTTACTTTAAATTTGAAAAACTTTTGCAATCTGGTCTCATAGTTCCGAAACAGATCGTAAAATAATACATTCTTTTTATTTAGAGGAGAAACTTGCTTTTCCAGGCTTGCTTGGGTCTCTTGAGTTAAGATAAGAACTTTTTTTTTCCATACAAACAATTAATTAAGTATACAACAGAGTGGTAAAAAAATGCTACCATGTTAATAAACACAGGCGCTGTCCATGTCCCATTCAGCTTGATAGCAGTTTGCTGARGTAGTGACATAATGTTGTTGAGGATAATGAGTTTTGTAGGTATCTTTTGGCATAGCAACAAGCTGTTGYGTAGCGTGTGGGGCCACAGGCTTAGGTTCTCGACATTCAGGTTTAATGTATGGTTTCTGTGAGTCAGGGAACGCCATGCTAAATAAGGCTTCTGGGCTGCATACAAACTTGTATACGTAGCGCTCACCCGCCACTTTTTGCATGATTCCTTTTTCATAGTAATATCTTAGTGATCTGCTTAGTTTGTCATAGTTCATTGCTGGACGGTTTTTCTGAAGACCCCAACGTCTCGCTACTTCTTCGGGGTCGATAAGTTTGAACTCAAGACCACGCCCTGTCCAMGCTATAAACGAGGAACATTCGGGTTCGTCTAAAAGTGCCACGAGGAACTGCCATAACTGTAATGAGCCCCTTCGCTGGAAGGACCTATTATCAGGATAAGGGACRCCACTTGGAACTTTGAACTCTGGACTCGCTGAAACGAAGGGAGTTTGGTATTAAAATCAATAATGTCAATCATAAATTTAAATAGTTGATGATATTCAATAATGATGAAGATGAAAATGATTAATGATGTAATAATAGATTGATTTGAATTGAAAAACGAATTGATAACTGTAGGTAACAATCTATTTTATAATACAAGAGAGAACAAAAGGATTACGTAGCACCATTTTAAAAACTTATTGGATAATGATGTTATCTGATTGACATATTTAAAACGTGCGATAACTACAGTGATGATAAAATCTTGATGATGATGATGATGATGATGATAAGAGTAAGACTAGGTCGGAATTGATACTAATAGCGTAAAATATTGGTGAATTTGAAGTCAATATGGATCCATCTGTTGATTCARGGCCCCTCTGGTAACCAACTTGACTCTWACAMACAMAACTATTTGTTTCTCGTTGTACAGATGTCGRTGACAAGATGTTAACATATGTTACATTTTTGTACAAGTTATAAAAAAAGCATATGGAAAACTACACGTACACACTAAAAAACTAATGTGCACATCTAATTAAAAACCCTTTTGTAAACAAAATTGTGATAATTCATTGTATAATCATAATAGTTAYCAATAATAAAGTTTAGTTCCGTTCAAAATAAATACAATGAACTTTCTAATGACATGAATAATATCTATCCTTGAAATTGGACATAACAAACTATATAACCAAATATATAATGGGGTCTGAGGGGCCAATATCGTTTATAAATCTATAAATATACATTTAACAGTTGACTAGAATATAGTACCATATGTCATGAATTGTCATTATCGGTAAAAACGCCGCGTTTTCGTTCCGCAACTGTTTTATTGAAGTTTCAACTAAAGGTCACAACAAAATCTTTCTCGTTTTTATTTTATTTTTTTTTTTATTTATTTTTTTTTTCGTTAAAACGCTGGTCGAAGATAAAATGTGAACGAAGACAAACAATCGAAAAATGGCATTTGGTTCCTTCATTGCTTTGTGCCGACTAACGAAAAAGATGAACCACGGTGGTTCAAAATGCCCCAGGGTGTTGAAAAGAATTATTCTGTAATTTTGCCGAAGATTTGCCCTTTTTGGCGCCCGGCGCTTTGAAAAACTCATATCATACAGTACTTTAAGAGAGACGAAAATGCAGATTTAAGTGGAGCTCTTTGATGGAGGACAGCTGTGAGATAATACTTTTACTTCTTCAAATAAATAGACCTTTAATAGCGAAGAACTTTCTATGTGCACAATACAAAATACTAGAAAACAATAACTATCTTCCARAAATCATGGCCAATTGACTGCGGTTGGCGAGCACTTTGTTATATTCCCGCTAAATATAATCTTTTTTGAGAGTCAAACACAACTTCAAATATGACAACGGGGAATATAATAGCGACTCCCATTCAAAATAAACTGTGTACATAAATAAAGAGAAAATTGAAACGTTCCGAAAATCTAATCATATAAGTTGAATGTTTGGAGACCAAACAAAGGAGATTCCATTTTCAAATTAAACAGAAAAAACTGCAAGACTTAATCAAATAAAGTTTGACAGAATTGAAATCTTAGAAAGCTTTGTTGACATAAACTTTTAAATGGATTTTTTAAAAAGTGATTTTTTGCTGGAGATTTCTGAACCGAAAGACTGAAATTTGTGTSTSKCATTGATGTGTATCCAAAGAGCGGTACTTCCTTTGAATTTATGTTGTTTTTTCGACTAACATTACGCTACAATTGTCGGCCTTGATGCTGAAAACTTTGTAGTGACGTTTATCGTCGATTCAATCTTCTGTAATGTAAATATCATATTTTAATCCCAGAATATTATAGTTTGGCTTTCCTAGAATATTAACTATTCCAGTCATATTGAGACAKTTCTCTATTAGATAAGTCTCGTTCTATACCTAGTGTTATACAAAGTGTTATCAAATAAATGGAATCTTTCTGGATCTTACGATTTGTTCTTTTTTCGCTGTTCCCTGTAGAGTTGCTTTCCATGTTGTAGTTAAACTTAAGTCAAACTGACTAAACGAGGAATTGACATTTATGAGATATTATACTACATGCGATATGAAACTCTATCTTCTTAAAGTTCGAGAAGAAGTTGCCAGAAAAAGAAAAATGAACAACCGAAACTAATTTATTCTTTCGGAAATGACTGATTATACCTTTAGATTTTATTTAAAACGTTTTTCATTATTATTTTTTTTATCTTATAAATAATCCAAGAAAAAAAATTTAGATGAAAACGGTAATTAAGAAGACTATGTTTATTTTTAATGGGGTAAAAAACTTTCCCTGACACAACACGCGGGGACGATCCCACGGTGCCTGAAGATTTATCAAAAATGACTTTTTTTTAATTTGAACAAATTGCATTCACTTCTGGATAAAGCAAACGAAAAACGACATGTGTTATCTTCAAAATATAATATTTAATAAATTGACATTTTCATTTGCCTATCTATAAAATTCGCTCCATATTTCCCCCCTCATTTGTGGGTAATTTTCAATGAAATTGATGTCCCGTCTAAATTAATACCTTACTTTGTCCATTTAAGATAATTTCGTAATTTTATTCCATTGAAAAAGCGCGTCATTAGAGCCAAAAAATAACACACTAGATTTTGCATTTCCTCTGTTATAGTTTATGTGTTTAGGCAATTTGAATTGAGATCAATGAAATACGAAGATAGTAATGAGTTGTGGCACACCTTATTAGAGTCTAATGATGGAAAGACTGACTAGAACAAAACACATAGAACCACATACTGTGGTTCCATACTGTGGGAATTGAAGGGAGAGACCCAGGCGGGCTGRTTTGGGGCGGAGGCTTTGATCTCCAAATGAGCAATCGAATGGTTTTCTTTTGTTTTTGACATTTTCTAAAAAGTCCTTTGTTCTTGAAAAAAAAAAAATCGAAAAGAATCAGCCAAATTGAGTCGAGCGTGTTGGTCCTGTTGAGTGCGCGGTTCGTTAGTCTATACCTTTTATGTTATTTTGTGTAATTGATGTGTAAATGTAGCAAAAATAGGTTGCAATCCTTTGGTCATTAGGTGGACTTGTATCATTCAAAGGTAGACCGCTCATTCAGTGTGTTATTTAGCTCTACAATTTCACTAATAAGTCTTACAACGTTCAGAGAGTGGCCATACCGTGTTCTAGTCAATTTAGATCATTCTAAGTGCTTCTGTTAGGATTTTCCAATTAGTGTGTTCATAAAGGCGCCAGTTTCCAGCTGCCGAACGAAGCCTGTCATTAAAAAGTGCAATTGATCCGAGGGGGCTGTTTGTCAAGACCAAATGCGTGCAAGTAAAACCGTATTTGGATCGCCCTAATTGCAAACAAATACCATTAAGTTAGCCAAATATCGCTCAAAAGCTCAGGAAATGGCCCCTCAAATTGAGCGCTTGAGTAGCGCTAGCTTTGACTCGTTTAATCCTAAACTCCAGCAAGTCTRCAACACGTTTACTGGCGCAGATCGTTTCGCTGTTACATTTGAAAACTTACACAGACCCGATGTCTTGGGTGATTTCTGCCTTGAGGTGTTCCTGTCCAATTTTTGGCCGTAAATAACTCCTCAAACAAACCGCCCAATTAAGCGTCCTTCCCCRTGGAGCGGATCGAGATTTCGGTCACAGACTATCAGTAAACAGCAATAATTTTTAATTGGAATTGAATCAACTGACAACAACTTGAAATTAGATTATTTCTCATGCTTAACAACATCAAGATCTGTACATTTGCGTTTAGCCATACCTTTTGAACTTCAATCATTAAGTGGGCATATTGGCCGCTCGTTTTTCAAAGCATCGAAAGAGTTTTAATAAAGTGTTCTCTTTTTAACGTAACGATGTCATTTGTACATGCTTCTGACACAATTCTCTTAGTGATATTTTTTATRTAATAGCTAAGTCTGTCAGTACTGTTGTGAGCTTTACTTTAGCRCTCTTTAGCTTGTCCTAAATACTTAATTTCAAAGTGAAAATGTCACACCCCCTTCTTTCGGTCTTCGTTGAGTAAATTCCTTACGTGTCATTAAACCCCAACTTTCCCATTACTCTACACTTGTTCGTCTCAATAAAATGCCACTATTGCTATATCTAGARGAGAGCCACAGCTCTTTCGTGCTCTTCAAATAGTACAAAAATTACAGAAAAGAGAATAAAATTGTCGCTGTCAAAGCAAATCTATAGGTCAAACGAAAACAAGACCTCATTCTAGGTAGCCTTTGGTCTTTCTTTCTTTTAGCCCGGAAAGGATATTTTTGTTAATTAGAGTCTAATGGCCTGCGTCCATGAAGGGCCTGTGATGAATGCCGATGTGGCATATATATTCATTTTCATACGATGTTGTACTGAGAAAGGAGTTGTGTGCGAGTATAATCGACTCATGTGATAGTTGTGCTTTTAGCTGCCAGCTATCGCGATTTGTCATCGACAAAAACGTGTTATTATTACGGGGCTTTCAGGATCTTATCAGTCTTAAACTTAGTATCATTAAAATACTGTTGGATAATGAATACAGCCAAAGACAACTTGTCGACTGTTCGGTTTAGTAATGGGTTTTAGGCCCTGAAACCCCAGCAGCTGGACCTGAACTTGTCTTTTCGCTTTCATCAGATAACGTTAGATGAGCGACATGCCTTTTGTGTCCACTAAGTTTGCTCTTTAACAGAAAAAATTCTCTTCGTCGGCCAAACACCGGTCTAAATTGCGTCGTATAAAAAGCTTAGTGATGAACTTCCTTTGATGGCGCTAGACGTTCATAAGCTGTAATATCTTACGGAAACTAGAATACTCTATCACGGAACCCACAAACCATGACTTGTATAAAATTCAAACAGCTAGTTCCTTCCGCCTTTTCAAGTAGCTACACAAATATTATTGATAGTAGTTTTGTATTTTAACTACATCTTCCCCTAGTTTAAACGGTTATTATCAGAGCAAAAACCGTCTGAACTCCGTCAAAAGCAGGAAATGCTCTTACCACCAACTCGAATCAAGTAAAATAAGCAGAATTCCTCGCGCCCGGTCCGAGTATTTCAACTGCGGGCGTTTACAAAGAGATATGTGTGTGTATTTTGTCGTCAGTCAAGCTTAAGGAATCTATCTCATGTTGCTAAATATCGTGGTTTTGAGGGATTCTAGCTTTGAAACAATAGTGATGGTTCAGAGGTGGAAAAATGCTGTCAAAATGGTTTGTTTTGGCGGGGAGTTTTTCGAATACTCACCATCTCGGTAGTCTTTCATATCTTTATGTTGTTCAAAGTAGTCTTTATATTCCTTGTGATAATGGTCCTTATATCGATCCGCGTACGGTAGTGGTTCGTCGTAAAACGAGTGAAGATTTGGATCACCATAGACTCCCGCTGCTGAAGAACAACAACATTTGAGTTATTAACGAACAAATCTCTCCTCTATCATCCACTACAAGTGATGACAAAGATTTAAAAAAAGAGCAATATTTCATAGTTTGTCAGATCTTTGTGGAGTTGAAAGTCATCTGATGGGAAAWGCATTAACATTTGGACAGAATGGACCGAACGTCAGACGCAGGCCAGCGCTGTTTTTGATCAATTTATCGCAAAACAATGTCCAAGGAGAATGGAGTTTACAAGAAAATCTCTACCGCAAACATCGTCGGGAGCTTYCCTCTTCAAATAGTTTGTTTCTTGCTTTTCAAAGCAAGGCGACCTCTGTTTTTAGGATCTATTTAACAATTATGTTATTAGCGTCTAGAATGAGTTTGCTGAAATCACAAGATCGTGATTTCGCTGTTGTGGTCATTGTATGTGAGTTAGAAACAAACCTAGATAGTGCGGTCTAATGAGAAGATTCAATTAATCGAAACAAAAACCKGCAGTTTTTTAGCTCTTCGCTGAAATGATACTGTGAGTTTGTGGTTGAAAAGTATAACGTTCCTTTGACATTWATCACAATAGAAAGAAAACGGCAAAAATCAAAGTTATTTCTTCATTAAAAAAAGGTTACAGTTCTTTTCAAACAAAGAACAAACATTCTAGTGAAAACGTACTTTCAAGTTCGTTTGTAATTGGAAACTCRAGCGTCACTTTTGGCAACAAAAACGACTAACTGTTTGAGGAAATKACCAAAATCATTTTTCTTTTTTAACGCGAAAGCATTTTTCAAAAACCTCATGACGTTAAAATTGTTTTGAATGGTCTGTGAGGAGTGCTTTTCTCATGAATGTTCGACCTCCGGTTGATAAGGATAGCCTGAAAGTGCGATCAATTCAAAACACGCTCTCGTTGCTTGCGGTTTATCCGCTATAAACCCAGTCACTTTTGAACAGATTAACAAGGGACTTTCACTGAGTTATCACATTGTTGCTTGGACAGTATCGTGGTTAAAATTATCCCGTTTTCCGTCCTAAAAGTGTTCTAAAGTAGTCTCTCTTAACTCTCTGATCGTTTCCGCTTCTACATGTTGACATATCGTTTCCCGTTTAACACAGTAAATATCCTGCTTCTTTGCTATAAATGAACAAGTCTTTGTAGAACAATTTCAGTTGCATTCAACGCAGCAAGAACGTTTGTTTTTGTGAAATCCACGGACAATTTTAGTATCAGGATAATGACGGTAATAGCTTTGGATCGAAATCATGGCAGTGTTGTGCTCACGCACTCGACAACAAAGCTTACTGCTTTATCAAGCTCAACGACTTTCTTTCAATGTGGCTCGATGTGAATTTTCAGTTTAAGGAGAGAGCTACCAACCGCGTCTAGAGTTCTTCTGGTAATTTTTTAGGTAGAATTCAACACAAGCCATTGTTTGTCGAAATGTACAGTTTTAAAATGTAACTCTATTCATTGGATTATATATATCAGCAGCGAAATTATTCGCTTTTTTATGTATTTTTTTGGTCGAAAAACGTGAGTGCTTTTTGTATTGTTACGTTATAGTTTAATTTTATTTACCAAAAAATCAAATCTTTGAAGGAAATCTTTTCCAAATTAATTGAATGTCTCATCTTCAGGTTATTTATTTTTGTTCAACCTCGGTGATTTTCCTTTACAATTGAATCATCTAATCGAACTATAGAAATTCCAAAAGTGTTAAAATCTAATTCTATTAAATTTTCAAGCGAGGAATCGCACTCTGATCATTTCACCGACTTAATTCGGCATTTTAAGAATGAATTTCGATTGAGAATTTGACGGATTTGAATGAAAATTAGAAAGAGCTTGAAAAGTGTACTAGCCGAAAATGGGCAGATGTTTTCGATATTACACTATTATTAGTCAACAATTGAGAGAAAAAGCCCCTAAAAAACGGATCATTCACAAGCAAAATTTCTACACTTCTTTGAAAATAGTATTTACGATATAAAGAAAACTAGAAATTCAATGTTAAAAGTTTCAATAGAAACGTTGAATAGAGGTTTTCGAATCTGGCCTGACAGCGAAAAAGGCAAACAGTGTACATGATAAAACAACATTCATAATTAAATAAAGGAGCTATAGTAGGGCGTACAAAATGGGTCGAACCAAAACCTTTTTAAATACTTTAAAAGGGATTGATTATTTCTCGAGAATAATAAACCTTGTTGTTCTACAATTAAACTGCTAAAGTTCAAAGGGTTTTTTGTCGACCAAGATGTTTTATCAATGGGAGCATTGGTCAAGTAACTGGGAGAGATTTAATAAACGCTCGTACTTAGCATTCATTCTTAAAAATTAAATTCTTCGGGAAGAAAAACATTATCTCTGTTAACAGTTTCTATCCATCCTGTGCTTTGTCCTTTGACTAATTCCCTTGTAAATTCGGAATATTTTTTTATTTGCATTTGTAAGACTAAAATGTTACACAACACATTCACTAGAACAGAGGAGAAATTGAAAACCTTCCGAGTCTCAAATTATCGAGCAACAAAAGCCCAACTTCAAGCGGTTTTTTAGCTTTTGAAATGGAGGGGAAGCTTTCTGGAATAACTGATCAATGGATTTTTCATGGCAAAAAAGGCTAATCAGGTCGAATTGAAGCTATTGAATAGTTGTTCCACCTGCGTCGCGCCTTCCCTTGACCGCGTCTGTTCAAGCATATGCGAAATTAAATTACTGCTGACAAATGGCAAATGCATGGTTCTCAGAATCTAAACTAATTTCAAAAAGTTTAGAATAGTACTATGATTTCTAGGCGGGTGGGCCAGTGAAGAACGGCTAGGTGAATACTATCGGTAATTGAATTACGAAAATGAGAAACGTCAATAATACTATGAAGTTTTGTAAGAAGGTTTATTTGTGAGTTGTTGTGAACGGTAATACGCTTCAAGCTTACGTAATACGGCAAAATGAAGTACAACAATTTGAAATAAAAAAAAATCAATAACTTATTTGTTCCAAGTCATTGTTGTGTATATATAAATATAGATGCAAATTTCGTACAGCGTCAGGGAAACTCTGTACATGAAAAAAAGAAAAAAACTAATCCCGTTCTAAGTGAATTACACTGTCATTTCCGTAAAACTCTCCGGCTATACTTTGCAATTCACGCCGAAGGACAAATGTTAAAGTGATAGGATCTTAAGAGCACGCGCCTTACACGATGCTCGACAATACGTTCAATTACATCGGTAAATTTTTAGATTTCTCTTCCAAACGTTGGAACTGAAAGGAATTCTAGAGGCTTTCTTTGGCCTGTCAGTTCTGGTCAAGTTCATGTTTGCCAAAGAAAAACTACGATGATTTGAACCGAAGAAAAACCAAGGGCCATCTGCACCCATCAAATTGAAGATATTGTGCTCAACTCACTCCATAACAATTAAAATTAATTTTAAAAATTTTCTATCATGAAATCAAAGTTGTATGAATATTCATTCCCAAGGGTTATCAAAATGTCTAATTAGAATAGAAGGCAATCATAGAAAATGGTTTGGGTTTTGGGGGAAAATGGGATAAAARATGTTTGTACCTTCGGTTGATCCTGGTTGAAGCGTGTAACAATCGGGTTGTTGATGTTGTTGATGATGGTACGCTGCGAGACCTTCAAAAATGAAATGTAACGTACCAGTTAACAAATATAAACGGTTCTTCCTCATCTAACTATAACAAAAGATTGTGTATTCTTCTAAAACCGCAGCGCAAAAGAGCAACGCAAGAACTTTAAGCGACACCTCTGATGATAAATTGTTCAAAAAATCACCATTTAAATCAGAACTAAATCGAATTATACTGCCTGTAAATAAATTCAATTGAACATGTGAATCTTGTAGAAAGTCTGTAATCTTAATTCGAAAATTACTCGACCAAAATCGCGCTAATTGAAGTCCAAAAAAAAACAAAGTGGGGGCTCTTTGAAAAGAGAGGAAGAATTTTTTCAAATACAAAGCACTTCTTCCTCAATGTTAATCGCTGGATAGCATTATTAAGAATTAACTGCGGACGCAAAATGTCTTTTCCTCTAAACACTTGTCGCCTTCCTGCCACGAGAAGCAGAAATCAAATAAAAAAGTGATACAAGACAACTTAAAAACACTGAACGGTTATAGCCAAATTGAATTATCCTCGCATAACAACAAGACGCGACTCTCTCTAAAAAAAACGACAGCAAAATGAACAGGATTCGATAAAAAGACATGACATTACTCGATGAAGAAACTCAAGGACACGATCGATGAAACGAGAGGTAAACCATCATTAAAACAAAATATTGAAAGAGGAAAGTAATTCAGGTTCCATAAATACCTTGTTCATACGGATTGTCACAATTTGCCGGACTGTAGTCGATTGGTTCTTGTTTAATGCCAGAATAGGCTGTTGGTTGAGTATCATAGGCAGCCATACCGTCATAGAGTTGTCGATAAGCTTTAACACAGTGAAATGGAGACGGCTGAGTGCCGCATGTATATACGAGGGGGGAGTTGGCGGGCGCGTGAGCCTCGCTCATCATCTTCATATAAGAACTAGAATCACTAGCGTTTTCCATTTTGTAACCGTTGTGGGCTCGAGATGCACTTGTCAGGCCTGGAAGAATTGGGGTAGACTGGCTCTGGTCGCACACTAGTTCTCTCGGCTCCGTCTTAATGTTTGTGACATAACTCACTAGAAACCAAGAACAAAATAAACCCTTAGCACCAAAATGCCTATTCAATTTCAAAACAAAAATAACTCTATCAATGACTCAAACAAAAACAAGAGAAGAATGCGTTATTTACATAATTAAAGAATGGGATGGGGGCCGACCCCAGGTAACAACTCAGAATCAAGACCTTTGTTCTGACAGATGAAGCGMACGTCAAACGAATTAGCGTCATTGCAAAGTGCATTTTTTTTCTGGTTTATGAATATTACTGGACCAAAACAAATCGCCGTTAAAATTCAAAAGGAGATTCACTAGCTTTCGTAGGTTATCTATTCGGATCTTTTCATGTTATTTTAACCTGATGATGCTTCGTATCTTCCTGACTTTAATTTTATGGATAGCTCAAATTGGTGTTTTTTTTTTATTACTCTGTCAACTATATGCCCTTAGGTGGGATATTTAGTAGTAAAAATGAAATTGAGAATGGATGATGATGGCGTTTCGGGCGTGCGTTATGATCGAGAAATTTTCTCTTGAATTAAATGTTGACTAAAGAAATTCTACTTAATTACCATTTTACTATTATCTACTGCAAGTGAAGAAGGAAATGGCGAGCGGGCGGGCGCGCGCGTCGCGAGAGGTAGTTACGACATACCGGAAAACATCGTCCAGACAGAACTATGTACCGTAGCTTTTTTCTACACTAAACCTGTTGCATTTTTAGTATTTCAACTTAAGATTGTAAATCATCGTACCTTCTCTGTTTGTGTTAAGGCCACCTTTCATTTCTGGCACATACTGTTCCGATGTTGACTGGGGGTAAGTTGACCGAACTATGATTAAAAACGTCACGTTATTAGTCGCTATTGTCGTAAATAGCTACTGTCGGTCATTCTAGAAAATGTGCAGTTAATTCCTGGTTGTGAAGTAGCTGCACAGCGATTGCAAAATCATGTCAAAGTATTTTTTACCTTCGCTGATCCATTGGTCCTGCATCTGTGATAAGTCCTGGAACAATTCTGTGAAATATAATAATACAAAAAAAAAACTCAACTACAACTCAATTACTCCAAATCAGGATATCGGATGAACAGATTTATGAAAATTAGCAGTTGACTTAAACGATGTCTTTAACATGAAAATAACCCAAACAAAACTGATAGCAACATGACTAACTTGAGAATAAGAGAGATTCACCTTGTGAGTCAATCGTTAAATTATCTCTGTTTTTACTGGCTTTGTGCAGTAATGAAGAAGCTTTGCGTTCACTTTGGTACGTTCGTGGTTCTAACTGAAATAAATAACGTGCGGCAATTGTTAAAACCCCTTGGGCGAGATGTTATCTTCGCAGTGCGCTGTGCAGTGGTGTACCTGTGGGTACATGTATGGGACCTCTTGATCGTAATAGTCGCCGTGATGTTGGTACATAGTCCGGTGGCACTACGTTGTGTCACACACCTTGATCCGAGTTCGTTACTTTATGCTCTTTGCTGTTTGTCTTCAACTTCGGGGTGAATATGATTACTAGTACACGGACGACGATCAATGTAATACTCGCCTTATTGTACGCCGACTAAAACCGCTCTTATAATATCTAGACAGACAAGTATGTCTCCAGTAAGTCAAATCAATAAGAAACAATTAGAGGTGCCTTGAAAATACGGTTTTTTTGACTGTATGTGAGTTTTTGGTTCCTTGTGTGTAGTTTTCCCTTGTGTTTGACATGGTTAGGTCATTTATAACGACGACTGTTATGATTGGTCAACTTGTAAGCCGCCTTGTGACGGGCTATTGGTCATTTGCAGGGCACGATGCACCAAGTGTCAGTTTCATTCTATTGACCAATCGAAACAATAGAAACAATTGACATGGGGTGCTAGTCGTCATTTTTCTCGCAAGATCGTCGCGCGTAGGCGAGTACGGTCACGGAGCCTCTGGAGGAATCACGCGTGGTTCATCTAATTAAATCTAGTTTTTTTTTATCAATAGTTTTGCCTGGGGCTCCTATTACTARCTTGAACAATTGATGAAACTCGAACCGTCTGCACACTATTCAAATATACGAATAYGCCAAGCTTTTGATTTTAGCTGGCCCTCCAAACACTATTAACAAGACAAATTTAGAAACTTTGTTGACTTTTTTGTGTTTAAAATGCTTGACGCAACGGGGCGAACTTTTTTWAAAATCCTCCCCCTATAGTTTTTCTTATATAAAGACAAGGTAACTATTGAGATGAAATTCATGAGTGGTTGTGTAGAATTAGCGAGATAATAGATTCAAATTTGTTGGTTTGAATGAAAGGACTCTGAGTTCGAACACAAAAGAGCCGTGGAAATCCAACATCTAGGGACTAATTTTTATTGTTTATCATGATTTCGTTATGCATTGTTTCATTAAAAACAGGTGACATACATGTCTTTTCCAACCTACACGCTCTCGTCAAGATTCAGTCTTCTTCATTTATTTATTTTTCTTGCATCATGATCGATGTGCAATGATCTAAATTTAAACTGATCGATATTGATTCTTCATGGAATTATATCGAATTTGCTCGGAAAGATCTTCATAGTAGTCTACAAATGACAAATTTGTTCTTTTGATGATCTGTCAAATTTTCTAGAGAAAATTTCAAAAAAAAAAAGAAATTAAAAAAATAAAGTTAAGATGTGTAATTCGTGGCGTACGAATTGGAAAGAGCTGTTAACAAAAAGGCCTTTCCCACGCTCTTCACAAGACTCTAGAGACGGACTCTTCATCAAAAGTTAACGAATATTTTCAAGCAAAACTGAACTGGTCAACTGTCTCCCAGGCTATTGCCTGAGTTTTTGTCCGAGTGACATGTATTTCCGGAACCACTGTTTTTCGTCTTAGCTGTTTGATTATACTATCGAGAAATGCCATAGTCTCWCTATGATTTGAGCCGCAAATTCGATCTGCAGTTTCATTTCTTCTGTGATATCAAATTGAATAATYATTTTTTGAATTAAAACTCAAACTGYGCAAACCATTCCCGTCAAATGGTAGTTTGAAAAGTGCGCAATTTAGATCATGCAAATTGTTTTAATTTATAAATACTGCAATCTAGAGTAGATTTTTTCCCCTCTTTACTRTATTGAATATTTATCTATTTCTATCCAAAACATAGTTATTTTAGAGGAAATATGTGAAAAAGAAGTTTCTAGCAAAAGAGCGAAACTGTTTAACGGTCACGTAGCAAAAACTTCGCTTTAGCAGGTGTATTTTGGTCAAAAAAGCTCGAATTATCGATGATAAAATCAAAATGAACAACTATTTGTTCTCTCAACGTCAAACCCCGCTCAAAGTGGATTTGAGGAGTCTTTACGAGCTCTATAATGCCTCTGATTATCGCTACCTCTCCAAAATAACTCGGGAAAAACTTTACAACTGCTTGACACATCGTTCACGGCAGTTCTGAACAGYGGTCCTTGAGGTTCYATGTTCAATTCTCTTTTAAATCTCCAATCAGCAGATATAAAATCATGTTTAGAAAACTTTCGCGGTTGCTTAGATAAATAATGGAGTCTTTGGCCAAAACAATGCCGAATAGTTATTCAGAATTAATCTCACCGATATTTAGAAAAAAATTGTACTGAAGTAATAGGTCGTCATTGTCACAATCCGAATAGCGCGCTTTCCTTAAAGTGACGGCTATAGTCGGGGTGTTAGCCTACTCGTCTCACATGGTGTTTTAAAACAAAATTGCCTAAAATGTGGTTTCTCTCAAAATACTGTTATCAATCAAGGAAAATTGAATGTCAGATTTTAACGATTGCTCATTTTGATTCAGTTTCGCATGTTAAAAAAATAATCACCCAGTTTTTTCACTGGTTCGCCAAATCTACCTTGAACAAGACCAATTTGTCTTTGTTATTTCTGCCCAGGTGATTTTAGGAGTGCGACATTAGGTATTCTGTCGCCACGAGTTGAGAAAAATTTGTCGCAAACCAGCTGCAACACTCGTTTAGCTTTCTGTGCGTATTGATTATTCTACTAATAAGGGCCACAGTATTGTTTTATAAAATAAACTACAATTTAAAATGAGCTTTGTACCGCCTAAAACCCGAAAAGATTTCTTGATTTCCTTAGTTGAGCGTGTTTTTTGTGACACTGGTGGCATATAGTATGGTTTTGGTCTGTGAGTTCAAGGCGAAGTGGCTTATCAAGCAACGGTTAATCTTACGCGCAAATTAAAATGATTATCAGGGCTTTTTCTCGTATTGTTCTTTAAGTTATTGATTCAGTTTTTTCTCAAAACTTCTGTGTCGAGATGTTCGATTAAATGATAGGCTTTGACTAAAGACTCGGTACATGCCTCTCCTTTCCTTTAATACCGAATATTAATCTTTTCTTTGACAATCCGTCAAACTCAAAAATCTAATAACCAAAGCRGAGAAAGGATCGCTTCATAAAAGTGATACTTTGCTCTTTTGTCCAACCCCAAAAGAACATACTTGTTCTGGGTGTATAGCCAATGATTGGCGGTTTGAAGAGAAATTTATCTTGAAAATTAAATTAAAAATGCGATACTGACAAGGAGCAATACAGGTAAGCGAGCACGCGTTGTGACACTACATTTAGTGGGCCGATTGTCACCCTAACAAACAATCCCTGGCATCACTTCTAGGGAGGATCATTTAGCTAACAGACTAAAAGATTGCGATCCGCCATTGTTTACGGGCGCAACAACAGAGTATTTAAGAACAAAATAACCCGGCCTATTGCTTAACAACATTGAAATTTAAAGCTTTTTAAATCCATCGTTATTCTCTATAGTTTGGCAGCGAACTACTGCGAAAATCAAATTAAAACATACTAAATGCATCTCATAGGGATATACACCTGTTGGGTTGAGTTCTGCGCATGCTCGTAGCCACGCGAGRGATGACAATGACATAGCACGCTTTGTTCTACGCGTCAAAAAACCCGTAGCTCGCAACAAAAAAACAGCCAGGCGGTATAATATTCACTTGCTATCTTCAAATAGTTCACACAACCACTTCAGCATTGTAAAAGCCTCACACAGGGCTCGCAGTGTGATGTAGTTTAACGATATTATCAAAATGAAGAGGCTTTGGGAATATTTTAATTTAATTATATTTAATTTATTTAATTTATCTTGACAGAGCCGCTTTGTGCTGTAAGTAATCCTTAAGCCTCGGTTCTCAACTTTTGACAAATTATCATAAAGATCRWTCGGTAAATCGAGCCATTGGTGATTTTCCGAGGGCTAATTAGCATTCTCTCGGGTCGGAGTTGTTTGAATAGCCGTACAGAGGCTGCAAATTGAAGTATTTACTAAGAGTAAGCCTTGATGAACGTGGCACGGGCTCTACACACAACGACATCATAAAGTTTTTCCGGGCTACTCTTTTTTGTTTGTTATGGAGTATGATTAGTGTCTCTATTTGAGAATGATTGTTCGATATATTTATGATGTCCAATTATTAATGTCTGTTCTTATAACTATGTTTAAACTGCCCTCACATTTTCACAACTATGCTTATTAGCAAGATTCTTTTCTAAGAACGCGGTCTAATAGTAACATAYCCTTCTTGTCACATAATAATTGTAACTTCAATGTAAGATGAGCTGTGAAGGGGCAAATAGAAAAAAGGCGAAAACTTTATCAGCTGAAAATAATAAAGAACTTAGCGGCCTAACATGTCAGCTTATTAAATTACGAAGTACTCTCCTCTTGAAGGCATTTGGATCAATGGGAGTCCWCTCTTTCGTGCAAAGACCAAAAAATAATTGAGAGTTTTTTTTTCCAAAATTGGGTAGCAGGTGCATATGATTTAACAAAAAAGGTCATTTACTCTTTGGTTTCAATGTAGAAAAACTAACGTCGCAACTCGGACAAGATTTGATCCTAAAAAAAGCTACAACATCTGTCAATGTTCTTATTTTTGCGTGGGTCAAAGTGAAAGCGATCTAAAGACTGGCCRTAGAGTAGCAGGATCGATAAGGGCGATAACAATCAAAGTTAATAGTTCGACTAGCGAAAACTGAACAAAGAWTTGTCCAAAAAGACCTTGAAAATCAATCTATTAACGGTTCATAAACTAGATTTATGATTTCAGTTATTGGATATAACTTTTAGATTGCTTGTCCCAAAATGTCTGTCGAGGAAATTTGACTGTCTGTTTCTTTCAATTTCAGTATGAAAAATTAAGCTTTTCATCAATGCTCATTTAAAACTGTTCTCTTTGTTAATAAATTAATTGAAGAAAATCTGATTGAACTAACCTAAAAGACTGTTATAATTGAGCTTTGCTTTTCAACCTAAATGTAATAGAAAAAAAGGTATTTTTATCTCGTTGTTTTAGAGATTGGATTCAAAGGGCATAATTGAAAACATCTTAGATTGTAGCTTGAAAAAGACTCCCATTCTACGAGTACAGTATTGATAACTGAAGCTTCCATTTCAATTCAGTTCTTTAGAAGTAATCAAAAACTAGATTATTCTTTATAAAAGTTGATTAAATAAAAGAAAATAAGCAAAGCAAACCAACTCTTTTGTCGCTACCAAATCAGTGACAATAGTCATTCAAAATAAGTAACAAGAAACGTACGTTTCATCTGCACTTCTTAATAATTCCACACACAAATCAAATTTYGCCCCGGAGGGAGAGTGACTCTTTATAAATGAAATAAAGCGATAATTCCTTTCAATAATCCCATAGTGACTGTCTAGTGAATTGACTGTCTTTTCGCGATCACACACTACACTAATTATGCATTGTGGGTTATTTGTATTCTGTTAATGACGAGATTATTAGTGTTATTCTACAATGTACGCTAAATCTCACCATACGCTGTTTTATTGTATTAGTGAGAAATAAAGTAGATGAGATATCAATTTTCTATGACATCTGCTCCAAGATTCAAACATCATTCTCTCAAACTCGGCACAGTTTCTCTGTAAACATACTTTTGACTYGAAACAAACAAAAMAACTGACAAACAYGAGTGAGTCAATCTAGTGGGAAATAAAATCAACACTGTCTCTTATCATATACAATTAAAAAACAGAACACGCACTCATTAATTTGTTCTGAATTAGTGCCAGCCAAAAGAGCAGTAGATTTAGCTTTAAAATCTTCACCGATTGAGTGCAAAACCTATTATTATATTGAGACAGTCTAGGTGATCACAAAAGATTACATAAAGGGGGTCCACACCGCGCCGGTCGGCGTGAAGCGATGCGGAGCCGAAAATGTTGTGAGCACAAGTTTACCGAAAGCAAGGAAGCACAGCTACCGAACTGTGACAACATGTATCCTGCCTTGTTTTCGGAGTCTAAACAAGAAGCACCAAAGTTTTAGTTTATAGGCTACTTTGAAGTCAATCGAAAGTGCGGCCGCGATACRGCAACCAAAGGATCCAGCGAAGGTGGGGCCACGGGGACTTAAAAGCTTCCAAAAGAAAGCCGATCTTGGCGTAAAATACTGGTATTTAGTTACTATGTTAGCATGATAGGAGTTGTTATCATCAGTATTACATTGCATGTAACGTATTTACCTGACATACAAGCTCTTACAGATCATCCAAGTGTCACCTTGACAAGTCAATAGAGTCAATGGCAAACGATCACCGAGAGATTAAATTAAAGCACTCCAGCTAGAAAACAACCCTCCGTTAAGGAACTTACTTGTTCAAGCCCTTGTTGTGAATAGTACTCACCTCTAATAGATACCATTYATGCTAAATCACGATGGTATACGATTGGTTTCCGATTGATAAAGCGAGCACTCCACGAATCAAGCCGACTCTTGAATTTTGTAGATGAAATTGCAGGAGTACCTTTCGAGGAAAGCGGCCTACCTGACGGTGCTATAGTTATATATGGTATATGTTCCAGCTAGGTTGTAAGACTTACTTAATAATGATGTTAATCTTAAGGTGACTTCGTTAAAGCTTGCAGTGTTGGACACACCCTAAATGCATGCCGACAAATAAACAAAATATTGATAAAACTATTCTTAAAATGGCTGCTTTTTGAATTTGCCGCATGCTTACTYCAAGCTAAATAGCACATATATCTATTTAATGCAAAGTACCTTGTAAACAAAACCTTGTCATTATGTAAACCCCGGTCATAATCAAAAGCATTCGATTAAACAAAAAATCATGATCACATCCTCTTGTTCGTCAATTGATTTCTGCGCATTTGTAAATTAAATTAAACTCCCAATACAATCAATACAGAACCACAGTGTGCAAAAAAAACATAACGACACGATTATAACCCTTTTTAAGCTCGTACATAGATTAATATACATTTATACTGAAAGCAATACATGTTTTGATAAAAATTGATTTAAATCTACTTCTATTATAATATTGATTTAGTATCCGAAGAAATGGAGATAAGATTGATCTTAATTTCTCTACTTCTGTTACAAAAGCGGCTCGCACGAAGAATGGACCTCAAGGGTTTCCACACTAGCGTTGAGAGTTCTTCACTTTGATCAGCGGTCACCGTGCGTAGCGGCAGACAGACAGACAGAAAATGTCTTGGTCAAGGCATGCGAGAGGAAATTGACCCAGCAAAAACAAAATTGAATTATTTTATTAAGAATATCGCTAAGATAATTAAAACAATCCAGTTTGTGTAATCATCTTGATCGTCTATTTTACGGGCGCCATTTTTATACAACTCTTTTCGTTGTATTTCATAATTACAGGATACTAAAACAACCGAGCGCTATGGAAGCTTGGAATCTGCCAGAAAAACTAAATAAGCCATCTGCATAACATTCAAACACTCAATATTTTGAAAACAAAAAATTACTCAAATTTCACAGAAACATAAATAATTAGTAAATTGAACATTCGCTTTTAGAGGGAAAAGAAAAACATGAGTGTTTCATAGAGCGCTCGGTCTATCGTGATGTTGGTGATTGTTTGAGTTGAAAACAGCGAAGTGATAGCTCWCTGGTCATTTCTTATTTAACTCTTTAGAGTCTTTTCGTGATAGTAGARGTGATCCAGCTGCTCTTTTGGCGTCAAAAAAGCTACAGTTAAATGAAAAACTTAACGAAAATTGTCTTTTTAAACTAATGACTGCACATCGGCTATTGGTTCAATTCTTTTCTCAAAATCAATACCGACGATTGGAGATATGCCTTGCAATGATTTGGAAAGAGCTTTTTTTGGATTCAAACAATTTYGTATCTTGACGTAAGTGGGTGATGTTTCTTGTCATGTGGCAGATCTTGTGCCATTTGCTACAAAAAAGCACTTAGATAAATTAAATTAATGCAATAATTAGAGTGCGTTCTGTGAGGTAGTTTCATTAGCCCCAAAAACATGACATGTCGATAAATCCATCACAAACAGTCAACTTGATACATTTTCGTAGCGTATAGCGTTATACAAATCGGGTTAATTCAATAGAAGCACATTTTCTTTCTTAAAAAGTAGAGGGATTGAATTTCCGTTTTTTTTTACCGAAGTCAAATCTTACGGATTTCAACTTATCCTTTAAGAAAAAAAAATCTCGCGCAATTTTGCTTTCWCTAGAACTTGTCACAAAGTAACAATTAAATCTGAGTTAATTCCAGGCCGAAGCACAAAAGAAACTTCTAATATAAACAAGCCACTAAAAACTAGGTCCCCAGGGCGATTTTTTATTTAGAACAAGCTCTGGGAGACCAATGATTACACAAGCGCGGCCATTCTCGCAGCGCGTCTCATTAGGGTCATGTTAGCTTTGACGTCATACTCATTAGGACCTTTTTAATTACATTCGGCACATGACGCTTTAATGGGTCGTCATGGCAACGTTGATCACGTGGGCGGGGTCATTTATGATCAGAGCGAGCAATACGCGGCGTATTAAGGAAAATAACATGGATTACAGAATGAGTCATTTTTGATGTTGGCTTATATTGGCTTTTTGCAAAGCAGAATAATACTTCACTCCTGAAATTGACAGCGTGATAAATGAAAAACATAATTGTCGTTGAATCAATGTAGTAAAGTTCTTGTCACTTCTACTTTGTGATCTGTTTGCTCAAGGCTGAGAAAAGAACATCCAAAGCGTTTTCTTTTATTTCACGAGAGTAAACAGCTCCTTGTTGCGATCAGATAATAGTTATAATTAGCGAATAGCCGATCCTGCAAATCGCCTCCACGACAACGTCACGTCACCATAGCAGCGCGCAAAACAACGTCACGAAATTCACGAACTATTTGGTTTGTGAAATCGACATGACGTAGTGCTACATTAAGGCACGCACAACGCGTGGGGTCGCGCAGTGTCGCTCGCGATGCATTAACGGCACGTGCCTCGAATTAGAAACAAGAGATTTCAATAGACATGAAATGGCTTATCAATATATCAATCCAGCCATCGTGTGTTGTGCCAACTGGTTTTACTGTAATTCAATTCTCACGTCTTTTCTCTTAAAGAATCATTTGTACTTGTTTAAACCTTTATAGCCAAAATCAAAACAAATAAATTATCCCTTTTTTAATGCAATTCGCTATTACTTTGGACTTTTCTTTGTGTGATAAGTTAAAAGATGCGATACAATACACAAAAGTTCAGTAAACCAGAGYGTACATGTTGCTCGCAGAATTTCTTTTGTTGGCAGATATATTGGTCTTCAATGTTATTATGTGGCTGTCACTAAAAGATACTTGTTATCAGAGTGTGTAATATCTACACTTAGCCGAAAAGTGACCATGAAAAGTCAAAGAAAGGATTTCAAAGAGGACAATTTTCCACTAAAGATAACAACGTACCAATGACAAGAACACTGTTACACAAAAGGCTAATAATCACAATCTTGCTAATGAATCAATGAAATATTTCCAAAAAAAAGTTTAACGCGAAAATTTGGATATTGTTGTCTTCTTTTTGCCTTAATACCCCAAGAAGATACATCAATGGTTTAAAAAAAGAAAAACTCTAACTGTGGAACAAAAGTTGTGTGAAATGTTTAGGTTAATCGTGAGGGAGAAKGAGAAGAAAAAGGCGGCAAAAGATCAAAGACTCTGCACAAAAACACCATCCAAACAACACTCAAAGCATTCATTCATTACTCCTCGATGCCACTCATAATCCTTCTTTTTAATTATACCGAGTGTACGAAAACCTTGAAGCTAACAAGATTACAGCAGATAAAAACTAACATTTCCAAGGAAAGGAAAAAAMYT